ACCGCCGGGAGACAAAATAGGCCATTTGAGCTTTTCCATATTATCAAACGTGTCTTCCTTTCTCCCGTTCGAATTATATTCCCTTTCCTTTTCGGATGATGGTCGTCTTAGATTTCTCCATCTTCCTCTATCTTTTTCTGTTGTTTTTCTCTTATTTGTTTTTCTTTTTTAGAATCTATATATTCATTTAATTTGGCATTAATTTCGTCATTGAATGGTTAATTCTGTTACTTTAAAAAAAAAAATATTAATTTGTTTGTATTTATTCGTTCATGTCTTCATTTATTTCGTATTATTATAATTACTATCACCATTATTAATATCGTGTTTGTTTGTTTGTTCGTTTATTGTTTTTTCTTGGGGGTGGGGGTGGGGGGGGGGGGGTCTTTGTGTGGCTAGGGTATCAATGAAGAATTCCTTTTTCCAATCGAATTCTAACCCAATCCCAGCAGTTACTTTGTCCCTTTTCTAGCACCCTTTCTCTTGTCCACCTACATGGAGTGGGGTTGAATGCAGAGGGAAATCTAAAGAGACCTGACAGAAGAGTGACCAGCACCAAACTTAGTGGCGTCGGGAACCAAATTCGGTCACTTCAGCTTTCCAGGTGTATTCTTCGTTTACCCCCGGCCAATTTCAATGTCCTTTTTCTTTGTTTTAAGACATTTCCCTATCATGCGGCTATCCTTCTATTTCCCAGTACGAGGGTGAGGCTGAGGGTATAGCTCTATTTTAAGAATTTGCAGGTCCAGAATATCGCCTAGAGCCGTTCGCCGTCCACTTGAGCTTTTCTGGCTTAACGCCTCTGCATTGTCATTGTCATTGGGTAGAATTGCATTACACATTAGCAAATGTCACTGAATTGATCAGCGAATTGAAGACCGCTGAGCGGTGTCTCCGTTTCCTTTTTTTGTTGAGATTGCCGGGCGAAAACCCGTAAATTCTTAAACTCGTCTTTGGGCAAACGCCAATACCATTGATTATCTTACAAATTACCAGCTCCTCGAACACGAAATTAAGAATAAGCGGATTACTCGCATTGCCTTTCATTGGACATGCTTGTTCAAGTAGAGAACGAGAAGAAAAAAAAAATTAAGTATGATTTATCATTGTACACTCTGTATATTACCCTCAGTATTAAAGTGAGTAGCTAAGATATCAAGTATTTCGCCAAAATGTACAGATACTGTTTTCTACCAACAAATTTCTAGGATACGGTGTACAAAACCTGTCTATTTTTCATTAGTACGTCAGATTCGAATATCGTATTTCCCATTTAAAGGGACTATGTCCCATTTGCAGGCCAAACAAATTAAAAAATTAAATTCCAACTGCATTTGAAAGATAATACTAATTTAGAACTTCCCTAAAAAAGGTGGGGCTTGAAAATATCTTCAAGTGGGAAAAAACGACTATTAGTTGTCAAATCGACTTTAGGGCTATAGAGCCCAAAAGTAATAGTCTTGATTTTCAGAAAATTGTACCTAATGGTCATACGTTTTATGCTGCGCAAAGATTCAATCAGTTTAATCTTGGCCATCACAAGAAGTGGGTTATTGATGTAGACAAATACTCGTGTACCCTTTACAACCTTTTTCATGTATGTTATTACCAAAGAAGAAAAAAAGCCGGTCAGTCACTCAATAGTGTCTGACAGTGAAGTCTAGCAAGTAAACGGTTTTCCTTGCATAGTTTGAATATGAGGACACTGCTAACGTTTAACTTTCAGAGATAGGACATACATGACATATTCATAATTCCTGCAAAGTTCTACATCATTTGAGGTTGGCTGCAAAAGGGACATAGTACCTTTAAGCTAACTCTCTACACCTTAATCAACGACAACAAGAACAATAAAATGGTTATTCGACAAAAAAATATCTAGATTGCAAGTAAGAGCAAATATTATTTAAATTCTGCTTAATTTGTGTCATTAAACAAATTATAAAAAAAATCAATTTATGCGAAAGCGACGTTATGCTGATTGTACCAACGAGTGGCTATCCCAATCATTACTTTAAAAACACAATCTACAGGGCACATTCTCTACTCCATTGCGAGCATTCCAGCCAGTCGCCCTCTTGATGGGCGCGCACTTGCTAATCCAATCACATTGAAGTACGCATCCTTCTGCTTTATACCTACTTAACACCCGGGTGGAGATGGTCAATGTAGATCAAATGCCTTGCTCAATGACATAAGAGATATGCCGGGCTTGGACTTGCAACATGAAGAGGTATATCGCGAATTAAATCGGTCTTGTTGTGTTCGTGCGTGTGTGTGGTGTGTACATGTGTTGGAGATACGCTGTGTGAGTACAATTGTGTCTATCGCACCATATAGTCCTTGAGGCAACGATTTGCGTTGATAGATGAAAAGACAAAAGCTAGTTAGGTTTACGCGAAAGTATGGCAACGAATGAAAAATCAGCTCTGCAATCTGCAAAACAAAGAGGTAACACGACTTTCTTTCTTCTACCGTCCACCTTTGAGGCTGCAAACACGAAGGTACGACAATCGTAGATGCTATAGTGCTCATTATAACAACAATCATTCTTTGTTCTTCTTAATCAAAGATGTTTTGTACAAAAAATAAAAGGCCAATCTCATTATATTACGTTCGCCTCATGACGCAGGTGACACAGAATACTACGTCAAGATGATGTAAAACTTGAAGTGAGGACAACTAACACACTTGACTTATTCGAAATCTACCAATTATGTGTGTTGTTTTTGCAATTATATATAATTTTGTTTTCGGACTTGCTTTTTTTTTTATTGTGATTGATTTGATATGATGATTGTTTTAACTCTAGTCTCTCTTTTTCTTTTATCTATTTTGTTTATTGTTATTAACAGTGAAGCCAAGTCAGCATCATGTAGTGTCCCATGGGGCACTGAAGGATGATGGTTTGGCTATCGTCTGAGCTATGACTTTTCCTCGTTGGAAAGTAAAGGTTTGGTTATTGATTAAAACTTGTTTCCTACTACAACTTGGTGCGTGATATATGAACAACTTCACCTGGTATGTCACATGATCAAGAAAATGGCTGCTCCCATGTCATACTACGAGACTTTCCATCATGCCAAGAAGGTCATCATATACAATCAAACCTGTCTATAGCGACCACCCAAGAGAAAAACAAAAAAGTCTTTGTAGACAGGTTTATTTAGTACATGTTTGACTGTCTCTTGTTCATTTTCGTAATGAATATAGTACATCAAAGGGCAGGAATACATCTCACTTTATCAGAATACCTACACTTCTTTTTGGGGGTGAGCTAGTTATATACACACAAGTTTCAACTGATCATTTAAAAAATATATTCACATAAATGAAAAACATCATCTCTACATAATAATAGAAAGTGGAAAGCAGTTTTTATAGATTGTTAAGCCCAATAACAACAATGTTATTGTGTTGAGCTGATTGAATGAGCTAGAACGAGCCTGAAATACAGTTAGGACCTAAAGGAAAAGTTAACATTGCGGGTTATATAACACCAAATGTAACAATATCTTTTGTCTTTTTGTTTGTATGTCTGTGTTTTGATTTGTTTCTTCTTTGCCTTTTTTTAAACCATGAGAAGATACAATCGTTGTGCTAAGCAAATACTGAATTAAAATTCTTGTACACTTTATGCTAAGGAGCGAAAATCGAGAAAATACGCTTAAATAAAACATCGCTCTAAGAAATAAGTTCTAGATAATAGTATTGCACCCACGATTTAATAAACATAACTTTAATATTATGTTCTAGGTTGCAATTATAACCCGCGTGCGTTTATCAATTACTAAGAGACACCGCTACATTAAAAAAATGACTGTATTATACGAGTAAAATAGTGGAATTAAAGACCTTGGTAAATGATTAATAACCCTTGCATGCCTCATGTATGTATTAACTCGATTAGAGTGCGTTATCTCTGAACTGATCGGGGCGGGTAGAAACGATACGTTGTTTTACGCATTGTCATTATGATTTTCATCAACCGTACTCATCTACCGTATGATCATCAAGGTCCTTTAATTAAATACTGTGAACGCTTGAGATGTTCTTTGCAATAAAAGCGATGAAAAAGTGGTTTGACATTTAATAATACAGTTATGAATATTAATCTCAAATTATTCGCGTGGGAGTACCCTCTTAATATTTTAATTCCTTACGAACACAATAATTGATGACTAATTCTAAAACTTCATACACAAAGAAATAAGTAAACTAATTACTGAGATGAATACAAGAATGAATAAATGAACAAAGAAATAGATGCGTCGATCTTCGTTCTAGAACTACTTGTGTATACCATGTAATACTTTTTGTTTCTTAAATTCACTGCACCTCCTCCCCATCTGAAGAAGAACCGACACCACCGTCGAATACGGTAGAGCACCGAAATGCTGTAATACTGGAGGGTACTTCGCATTGAAAAAGTGATGCTTGTACCCGCCAGGGGAAAGCCCCTAGAATAAATTTGTCAATCAGGCATGCGCTGGTTCTCTCATGAATAACTGCGACGTTTACATATGCGCGTATGTACATTAGTTTCTGAATTTAAGTATTAATGCACATAGGGAAATAATGGTTCGTGTGAAATGAAAAATAAAAGCACAATTTGACACGTTTATAATATGTACTAGGCTATTCTCTAATATTAATACTTATTATATCACGTTTTGCATGCAACATAACCTTCTAAGAATTGTGTTATGCAAACAAGATGCTACAGCGTTGTCCATATATCTCAAACTTTATAGTTGAGTTTATTATAAATAACGAGTCAATAAAGCTTGAATATTAGAAACCAAACTGGAAATGTTAAGTAAAGGCTGCTCACAATAGTGCCACCATGGATGACTGGCCACTAGTCAAGTCTAACGATTGATGGAGAAAAATAAGTCGGTTTTGCAAAAATTGGTGATATACGGTGTGGATATGATGTCATCGTTCAAAATCAAATTCATATTTAAGCTTCAACTTAACAATTCATTTCGTATTCTTACCTTCACCCTGCCGGTTCTGAGAGACAATGACCTTGTAAGGCTCCCTGAAATAAAAGGTCGAAAAATACAATCGTCTCAGGCAATTACTAAAACAACTATTATAATAATAGTATTAAACATATTGTGTTTATCACCCTAACTATAACGTGTGAGTGGTATGAATTGTTCGTATCCAAAATACCAGCAATGCGCTTCCTTTTTCTTTTTTTTCTCACTATAAAGTGATTTGCCGCAACGAAACGACGTCTGCAAACGCAATTTTATTGATTATCATAATGCATCCATTGTTCAATCAGCTATAGCAACCCTACTAATGAATTCGTCTTGATGATTGAATCCCCGATGATCAGATTTATATCGCCGTCAGCAATATCCATACGATTGCGCTTGAATGATAATGAATTTATTTGACTGATATATTCCCTCTGGATACGAAAGTGAATGAGAGTCATTAAAATGTCAGTACCAATACAATACGACACGTTATCTTTCGCCAACAACAACATCATCGACAACAAACCAGGCTAAGATTCTTTTGTTTCAAAGAGCATTCATGATATAACCTTTTATTGAGGAATAACTTTGGTTTACTCTGCTTTGACTTTCGTTATCGGTATGAACTCGTTGATTCCCCCGGATTTCCATTACTTAAAATTGTTTAAAAAAAGTGGAAAATAGAAACGTTGGTCAAACAAAATGTCAATTTTTATAAATGCAGAATCACACATACAGCACATCAGGGGGTGTTTCACGACGACTAAGATCGACTTAAAGGGATCCGGTAACTTTGTCTCAGATTCTGAAATAAAATTCTGGATTTAGCTCATGATGCAATGATAATTATAAACCTTTAGGTCAGTCAGGAACCACATGACTTTTACAAGCCGATCGCCTGTCTGATTATCGAGATATTTATGATTGGAATTACAAATTTTGAAAACCGTTCGCCTGACGGTTTTCATAGCACTACAATCTATTGGGGAAAACGAGTATGTTAAAACCGGTCACTCAAAGATTTTTTACTTTTTTGAGGCACCTCTGATCATTTTGAAGCGAGATTTTTGTAGGGCTTCAATATTACACCATATCACAGACACCGATAACACGTAGGGCCGTGTATCTCAGATTTAACATTGTTAAATGATCCCTTTAAGTTGGACTTGAACTATGACAGGCCATTCATGCCACTGGTTGCTCTCACCATTGGTTTCTAAAGGGACGTCAACAATCTACATAATCAATTTTTTGATAGTTCATTGTCGAAGAAAAAAGGTTACATACATTGTAAACTTTGGCTTATTACAGTAGACAATTTATGCCCTTAACAATTGTTGAACCAAATGTAAAATTGGAAGAAAAGGTCTTACAAATTATGATTTTTAGATAATACTTCTTCCTTCAATAATGAACTATCAAAAAATGTAAATTCTGTAGATTTGTAGCCACAATCTGTACATCACTTGAGAAACCAGGAATGGTTAGAGCAACCGGTGGCATGAACTGTTTGCCATAGTTCTGTGAATCACCCCCACTGAACTGTCAATTAATTAAAGTAATACGGAGAGAAAGATACCCACCTCGCTGTATTAGTAGGCATCGTAGGGGCAATAGAAACTAAAGCCCCTTGCTGATCTTTTAGACTTATATTGGCCCACCTATGAACAAAAGTACGAATGAGAGAAAGAGAGAGAGAGAGAGAGAGAGAGTGAGAGAGAGAGAGAGAGAGAGAGAGAGAGTAAACATTAGAAAAACAGACACCATATGTCAACATAAAGTAACTTTTACATACTCCACAAGATATGTGTATGCGTATATCAATATATATTAAAAATTTGCAAAAAAAATCATGGAGAGGTTTATTGATGAATAAATCCATGTTTGTTCACAATTTTGTTGAAGTATCCCTGTACTATTATTGCCTAATAAATAAATATAATGAATAATAACTAACAAACAACTGTATCACATGTTAGCATACACGTGATCAATCTTTATTGCCTTTGCAACGCAATATTTTCTTTTAGTTATCGTTTCCTAGGATTATCAGATGCTAAACTGCCATTGCCTTGAGTGCCGTTTATGGAATAAAGATGGTTGCCATGGTTGCTACGTGGGGTTTCATGTGTTGTTAGCAAAAGGGGAAGGACTTTTATAAGCTGCTTATAATGTTCATTCGGCTTCTAGTTGGGGCCTCCATATGCACTTTGTGGCGGCAGTGGATGTGAGGTTTTTTAGCGACAAAAATAGCATTCTGTTTACCCACTACAGCAAACCATCCGTCACGGCGTGATACACCTACCTTGAATTTGAGTCGGTTATTCCTCTTTTTACGACACATTTATTGAAATAGATAAATAAAATAAAAAATGAAATGAATGAAATACATAAATAAATGGTTACATAAACAAATAAAAAGAAACCCTTTTTTTTAGGACTAAAGAATGAAAACGAAACCAGGGAAACATGTTTATCGACAAAGCGATCTGTTGCAAGTTCTCAAAGTTGACCAAAGAGGAGAAAGGGGTAACGCAATCAAGTTCCAAAACTATTCCCCCTTCACTCTTTCTCCCTCTATCTGCCCCCTCTTCCTCTCTCTCTCTCTCTCTCTCTCTATCTCTATCTTCTCTCTCTCATTCACAATTTACATGTGGGAGGGGGCATATCGGAATGTTAAACAAGTCCGACAGGGAGACGATAAAAAAGAAATACATGAGCCCTTTATATTTACAAAATCAATTCGAATGTTCATACTCATGCGTTAGAGGGGGCGCTAAGGGAGTATTGGATACAATAATATTGTTCTTACCTACTCACACCAGCCACTGAGGTCAAGAGGTCATGGATATCACGTGATCCGCAATGGGAGCTGAAAATGATCTGCGAAAAAAAGATAGACAAATATCACAAAAAATACATGCATGAGTGGTTGCATGAATTTATTACATTTGGTGAAAGACAGAATGATAAAACAGAAAATACCCCATCAGTGTTTACAATTGTAATGTTTGAATATTATATTTGCAGTGTGTAAATAAAAATGTTCCTCTCACTTGTTATTGATCTTTTTTTGCATCCAAACACATAATCTTCTAAAGAAGAAGAATGCGAAGACGAAGGACAGAGAAGAAGACGAGAAACAGGAAATAGAAGAAAAGAAGAAGAAGAAGAAGAAGAAGAAGAAGAAGAAAATTTAAAAAAAAAGAAATTATATTGATTTAGAAAAATACGTTTCATTTTCTAAATAAGGGTTGAGTAGTGTATTCTATCTTGAATGACAACCAGAAATACCCGTAAGCACCAGATTGTTCCTCCTTGTATATTCAAACAAGAACTTCCAGCATTTCTTTGCCACATCACTTTAAATGAAAACTATTACGCAGAGATAGCAGTAACCTACAAATTTGGAATTTTCTCTCTGCCTGTCAAGTGTCTTTCCTCATTTATCTTCTTCTTTAACTTTCCGCATTACTAGGGACCTCTTTGTTTGAAGTAATAACCGTCATGCTTTCACTTATATGCGGGCCCTACCTCTTTTTGGTTTGATTGAATTACTACCTCTCATATTGGTAAATCTAATATGGACCATTGCAAAATCAAATACTATGACATTACAAATTTTAGAATACTCAAAAACACTCTTGAATGAATGGCGCATTTGGGGTTTTTCACGCGGTTATGCGGTTCGTAGCGCAGCATTTTTTTCATTCATTCATAATAGTTTATTAAATAAAAACTTCAATGGCAGCCGTGCAACGCTGAATCAATGAGGCGTACAGTTGCATAAATGCAAATAACAAAGGCAAGACAACAAGTAGAACGACAGCACACGAGACCAATTGGACCTACAGCCTGGTAGATCTTTTAAAACTTGTCAGAAGATGAGCTTGTTAACTAGAGCTAAACCAAAGTACCATAATATTCAGAGCAGAAGCAGTCATTATCATCATCATCATCATCCTATATTATCATTGTTATTATTATCATCACTTTTAATATTATCAATATCACAGTTATTACTAGTATTATTGTTATTATCATCATTATCATTACTAGTATTTGTATTATTAATATTACCACTATCATCATTTGTATAATTATTATTATAAAGATTATCATTAATATTTTCACTATCATTTATATTCTAATCATCATCACCCATCACCCAATTTTCGTCGTTGCTGTCGTCGTAAAAACCGTGATTTTCATTATCCCCGTTATTGTGTTAGCTAAAACAGGCCTGTTTTAAACAGTGAAACCCATGTAATGATTTTTAACAAAATCATTACAGCCAGTACGGAAGGAAAAACAACTATCAACCGCCACAGGCATCCTCCTGCAAACCGCATCATTCAACAGTGAGATCGGACGACTATCTGCAGTACACAGAGGGCATTTCTTTTCCGGACCTCTAGGAAAAACACAGCCATTAAATTAATGGCATTTGAATAGAGCGATCCATCACTTTATTTTTAAGCAACTATCATTAGTTTGTTTTTGTATTGATGAGATGGTGAATGTATATGTGCTTTTTACGTGGAAAAAACAAACCAAACCAAATCTAGAATGTAACTATTTGCTATCAATATTGATAGTAGTAGGAGAAGCAGGGGTAGTAGTAGTAGTGATAGTGGTGTATTAAAGTAGTAGTAGTAAGTAATAATAATATTATTTACTATTATATACCTCACTAAAGAAATCCAGCCATCTGATTTGTCGAAAATGCAGTCGTGGTTTTAGCCATTCCCGTAAATAAACGAAAAATGCCAAACCCATGTAATAGTTCTAGAGTAAATCAGTAAGATCCCGGCAAAAAATTCCAGTTACCGGGAAAATAGTTCAGTCTTGCTAAAATACCCATTGGTTCATATGTTAACAATTTCTTTATGGAATGCGCATTGGTTTACGTGTTAAAGTTCTTTTGTGGAATGCGCAGCGCGGCTACCACACAGTTTTTGTGCAATTAATTCGGTTGCTACATTTGGACACAGTGCAGACGACCGCCGATCTCGATTGTAGGCCTAGATGTACATGTAATTACGAGATGACGTCCCTTTGGAAATATGGAGATAAACCTGCTCTTTCATATGACACCTCATTTTGTTTAGTATCACCTTCAACTTCAGGATCACAAACAATAAAGGTTTGCATCTCGATTAAGAAATAATTTGTTAATGCACCTAGATCTAGACTGCATATTTATGCGTGCAATCTTAATGGGAAGGATTTTAGCACACATACTCGAGTGGTGCGCGATCAGACACCCTAAACTAGGTCTCGATAGCGTAAACAAACTTGATTACCATGATTGGTAAGTGGCACATGTATTCTATGACCCTTTTTAGTATATATAAGTTATAATGACTGCTTTAATTTTCGAGATATAGGTGTTTTTATACGCTCAAGGGGAGGTTACAATCTAGCTATATTGCCCTCGGCAAGCCTCGGGCAATAGCTCGATTGTAACCTCCCCTTGAGCGTATAAAAACAACTATGTCTCCCAAAGCAGTCATTATTACTATACTATTATTATTACAACTATTACCATTACTTTTGTTTTTTATTATCATTTCCATTATTAGTATCATTATTGTTAATAGTATCGTTATCATTATTATTATCATTATCTTCATCATTATGATGACTATTATAATTGTTATTAGTAGTAGTATTATTAGATATATTTCTATTATATCATTGTCATCGTCTTTATTATAATCATAATTAGTATAAGTATTATTTGTATCATTCATCACTATTATTATTCAAGCAAAGGTAAAGCTATAAAGATTATTTACCAGGACAATGGTCGGAATTTACACTCTGCAGAGTGGACATGAACAACAAAACATCAACTTCTCCTCACATCCCCCTCCACCCTGCCTCATGCACTACATCAGAAGAAGCCCTACGGCCAAAGAGAGAGCATTTCTTAGTTGCTAGGCAACATATCTACCTTCAAGGGATTCTATTTGCTCACCGGCATCCCATGACAAGTTATAAAATGACCAGTATCTACACATCATGAGGTAGGCCATTAGGGGCAAGGGCGAATGGCGGGGGGGGGGGGGGCATTTGCCCCTTTAGACAAATTTTCCCCAGAATGCATCAACTTATAATACTAATAGTTATCAGGTCATGGGCTTGTAAGACAATACACAGAGATAATTTTGTTATAAGTTATGAAATACAAATCATAATTATTAGCATACAGATTGTTGTGATTAATTGCCGTTTGTTTGGACTATCAACCTGTCCAGTCTCATTAGGTTTTTGATGATGGGTTTGTTTACTCTTCTATTGTATAAATGAATGAAATTGTACCTTATAGGTTACTCTTGAAATGTTTGTAATAATAATAATAATAATAATTATAGTACAAATTGATATAGCTCCTTTTCCCCTGAATACAAAGCGCTTTCAGATTCCATCCATAAGTCAGTGATACAGTTTACTCAAGTAACATGGCAAAGACAGAGTATATATGTCATGGTTTGAATGTTGTATTATTATCATTACTCATAATATAAATTAAAGAATGAATACAAAAAATTGGGACAATATCGTCTACCAATATATGTCGTACATCTATATATTCCGCAAAGCTGGGCCATCGAATAGGGTTCTCTTAAGCTGAACCATAGGGATCATGCAAGTTACGATGGTTTGCCCCTGTTGAGTTCAATGTCTGAATACGCCACTGCAGTAGATGGATAAATATTCGGAACTGCCGCCGGAGTCGAAATTGAAATAACTGGGATTGAAAACGAAGCTTCTGAAGCATACGACTTCATTCACTATATCTATTTCATTCGAGAAGCCAAGAGCAGTGGGTGTATTTAATCTTGCCTGATTATTTTTTCATCGGGGAAAATCAATTACATGTACAATACTTATCGCTGAAATGTTTTCCACTTGAGTAAATTGCAGTGCAGAGTAAATAGAAAGAAAAAGTTACCGCAGAGATATATTCAGGAAAAAAATATGAACGGCATAGATGAAATGCGGAAATATTGACATAATCCGAAGCAGATTTTTGAACAGTTAAGTTCTATGAACAGACTTGACAGAGTTACAAGTTCTATGTCTTCAAATAAATTCATTTGTATTATTAGCATTAGTTTTACTATTGATTTTGTGTTTGTATCATTTTGTCCCTTTTCGTCCTCTTCATCTCTTTCGCTCTTTCCTCTATTTTTTCTTCTTTTTAATCTGATTTATCTTTATATTTTTCTTCTTCTTTGCATTTTGTTCCTTGAACTTTATAGGTCATGCATATCTTATTCTGATTTGTTGGGTCTGTTTAATAATAGTTCATGTGACTATTGTATTTGTTTAGTGATTTACGTACTGACTTATTCATTTGTTAAATCACCAAACAAAGAGAAAGAATGTTTATGGTTTGAAGGGCTACTTTAAAGTTTAAAGATGATTACAGCCCTCGCTGAAGAAAACAGAATTATCGTTCTTCTCTCCCTTTCTTTTTCTCTCCCACCCCCTCGCTACTCTCTTTCTCTCTTTCTCTCTCTCTCTCTCTCTCTCTCCCTTTCCTGTTTCTTTCTTTAATTTTTATTGTGTTGGACAAAATGCAGAATTAAAATCAAATCAAACGAATAGTATAATTGTATGAGCAACAATGTACATTATGAGGTATTAATCCTCATTACCAATTCCCTCGGCGAGGACTTAAGCCGTCGGTACTCTGGTTGCTTACTTACACGCGTACACATGCTTTCTTTCAAACCAAACCATACGGCTCTCAAGAAGAACATACATGAATGAAATTCCAATAGAGTAATTCATACCTTCTCAATCCTCCCATCTAGATCCAAATGGATGGCGCGCGCTTTACTGTAAGAAGCGCCGATCCCCATTCCGCCGCAGAGTGTATGCGATTGCTCTTCGGCGAAATAAACGGTTCTCAATCACGACTCCTCCAATTCATACAATCAATCAATAGATTACAAACGTCGCTGCTCTCTGTGTTCGATCACCAAAAACAAAATATGCCATGGATCCTTCCTTCCTCCTCGCCAAAATGTAATTTACACTTTTCCCCGCCAAATTATGTCTTTTCCCGCCAAAACGGCTAATAATGGAACGGTAACTGTTTAAAACGAAGGCGTAAGCAACCGTGTAGAAGAAGTTATATTTGAATTCACAGACTGTTATTTAGGATGCGTGAGTTCTGCGTTTATCGGCATTATTGTTCGTTCGCTGTTTTCGTCCCTGTACCGCATTCGTCGTGTTATCCTCTTCTTCGCTGCAAATCGCTGGGAAGCGCGCCTATTATGAAAATGACACGGTGGTTGCTATGACAACCGTTCGCCCGAAGCCATATGATAGTGAGGGCAGCTCGTCGTGAAATAAAAAAAGTTTTTTTTTTTTTTTTTGTGCAAATGAAGGAAAGCGAGTTTCATAGCAACCGGTTTAGGTCCTCCATGTGAACTTATAAGACGTCAGTGCAGGAGAAAACCAGCACATTATGAAATCTAGAATTATGAAATCACCATGTCGAGTAAAGGAATGTTTTTTACCGCATGTACAGTTTTCTTTTTAAAGTGATGATTTTGATATATTTCCCGACTACGCATAAAGTGTTTCACAAGAATACAAACGGCAGTAACTATAACCATGATAGGAGTAAAAGAGTTTGTTTCATTCTGCGCTCATACCCCCCCCCCCCCCCCACACCCCCTTATGAATCAAATCGTACCTCTGTTTGGGTCGAATTTGCATTATAGGAGTGCAAGTTCGCTGTAGTAGATATCCATTGTCCGTTTTATTGAAGCCGATAGTGGCACATATACATTCGAGTCATGCCAAATGGCATTAGATGTGTAAATGTTGTTGTTATGTATAGTGGTTCGTTCTTGATTTGACTTTCACACTAAAGGTTGATGGTTCGAATTCCATCCCGTCACTAGCGTCCTTTGGGAGGACATTATAATCCATATTTGCCAAACCCAACCAAAGGGGAAAATGGGTATCTCGTAACTGATGGGCTTAGGCCTATTATAAGTGCAGAACCTGAAAAAAGAGCAATATTTACACTGATGTGACCATCCTTTGTAAATCAAAACCAATTAGAACTATTGTAGTAATTCGTTTTTTAGTTATCATTTCTTTTTGTATCATCTCATGTTTTGTAACTTTTCAATGTCTTTTTGTTGTTTTGCGGCTACTCTTGGTTTTGCGTATATTATTATTTGTTCCTGTTATCGTCCTGCCCTAATGCTCGGCTTTTTGGAGCGCTTATCTTGTATTCGCTCTTCTATCTATCTATCTATGTGAGTAGGCTTGATAGAAACAGAGAGAGAGAGAGAGAGAGAGAGAGTGAGAGAAAGAGAGAGTTGGAGAGAGAGCAAGATAAAGAGGGTATTTTAAAATACTGAGAGCAAGTAGCGGAGGAATGACTGCATGGATGATAAGAGGTAGGAGCGTGACGAGAAAAATAAAGAAAATGAGAAGATTAAACGTGATATCCTACCATCTGTCTGCAGTAAAAGAAAGTGTCATGCAGCTCCACTTTCTGTTAACGGCCCTGAGATGGCGCTGTTCATACTTGATAGGCTGCTTGATGAACATGGTCGTCTGCCACCATCACCTTTTCCCCATTGGTCCCTCCTCTTTTGACTTGTTATCATATCCATGTTACCTGCTTTCTCTTTTGCATCATTAGGGAGTTTTAAATTTGCACGATGAGAACGTGGACTGTGAAGTGTGTAATCCTTTTAAGGCAATATGACGTCCTTTTAAAGTGACTTGGTAACATTGTTGAAGGTTGATGACAAAATTGCTTAATTTGTGTATAAAATGTTAGTTACTATATTCATTCTACTATACAATACCCTCTGACATGCAAAAAAAATCCTGAAAAAATTCTCAAACCACGAAGATATCTATGGTTTTCTTTGAAGGAGTCGATGTATGACACCCTCTAACAGTGATTAACAGTAAATTCTCCCAACCATTTTCCATGAAAAAAAAGACATAAAGCAGGCTATAAAAAATCTATCAACACTTAAATGTCTGGAATGGAATGTAGAGCCATTTTATTGCTTTGTGACGATTTCCATTCACCTAAAATGTAATTGAATTGTAATAATATAGTTGGGAGAATTAAGGAATCGATCAGATCAGTTTTTTCCAATTTGTACCATGAATAATGGTCCGTTTTTACTCAACTTTTCAGACTATCTTTAATTGTACATCTAGCGTTGAAGTCATTACCTTAGCACCACTATCTCTCATCTGAACAATGTTACACAGTCCCTTAAAGGCACTGGCAGTGACGTCACATTGCTTTATAAGGGTGTCACACGTACAAGCAGTCCACGTTCTCGTCGTGCAAATATAAAAGTCCCTATTAATGACCCACATTAAGATAAGATGTACGTGATCTATTTCTTTAAGTAATTCACCTTTTTCAAGACAAACGATCAAAAGTATCCTCCTGGTATTTCAAAGTTGAATGATGCTCGTTTCTCTTCTCTTTCTCTTCTCATTTCATCTTCCAACGCGTGTGGCATGTTACTAAGTGCTTTATAGGTCTTGTATATTATTAATATCAATATCTTGTAACGGAAGAAGGAATGCAATCTCAATAATATTAAAGAATAAGGATATTCCTTATTATGTTGTGTACATGTAATTTGCGCTTGCATTTCACCATAATGATCAGCCTACAGTATAATCTCTTTTTCTCCCCCCTCTCTTTCTCTCTCTCCATCTGTATCTCTCTCTTTATCTCTCTCTCCATCTCTCTCTCTCTCTCTCTCTCTCCCAACGTATATATCTTTTGTATCTACCTACCTATCTATGCAGCTATAACATTTATATATCTATCTATCCTTTTTTTCTCTCCCTCTTGCAATATTTCGTTTTATACTTTTTCTGTCTCTGCCTAGTGTATGTTTATTCCCTTTTTTGTATCATTGTGCCACTAGTTTTATTGAGTGAACTTACACTCAAAACGCCATCCATTGTATGTTAAATCTTATTTATTGTTGTTTTGTTGTTGCGAAATTGACTATGCTTTGTAGTTTGTTAAATGTGTTTATATTCAAATTCGTGATACGCGAAATGAGAGAAAAATGCTAATACATTTTCCATAAAAATTAACATTTAATATATACCTGATGAGTTAGCATAGAAACATGGATTAGCAGTATAACACTTAAGAGAGATAAAAAGAGCAACATGCAATAATATTGTCGGTACATAATAATATTTGAAAATCTGTTCCCTAAGAAATAATTTGCAATATTAGTTCTGCTTGAACATTGAATCATTCAGCAGACGTACGCGCCTGACCACCACCACCACAAACACGGACGCACATATACACGAACAGCCCAACCACCACACCACAATTACACAAAATACTACCACCCAATCTTTTTATTCTAAGTATGAACCACCGCTCCTGACTCAATTCGATGAAAAAAAATCAATAATTATGTGCTTCATCGATATTTGATGTTAAATAGTTTTCAGGGCTAAATATCTCAAGCTAACGAGCAATTCAATTTAAATTCCACTAAATTATGGCTAATTGCATTTGATTCGAATTTTGAGAAAGTTAGTTGTGACACATGCATCTACGCAACAAGAGCTTTCATAGGTCAGATTTTGGCGCCAAGAAATGGACCCTGTTTCATAAAACTTGATATCAATATCAATAACAACTTACAAGCTACGGTTATACGCTACTGAAATCAAGGCATCTGATTGGCTGAGAGCAAATTCATCATAGAAATTTCGCATTTGTTATAGATAAAAACTTGTATGAAACTGGCCCCTGATCCCCTTCCAAGTTTGGCCAAACTCTGTATTATGATTATGGCCTTGTATCATGTGCATGGTTGGGGATGGATCTCAACACGTTCTTACCGCTTGAAAATAAACATTGAGATAACGACATTTAGGATCGAGGCAACAGCAAAGGCGTAACTAGTGTCAAGCCCTGCAGCCGAGGACACCAGATCACAGCCTCCCGGTGTAGTATTGTCTGCGAGAGGGGAAGGCGGCATGCAGTTTTCGGCGCCGTCACAGACGCAGATGGTAACGCCACATATGCTCTCGAAAGTCAATTCATCTTCAGCTGACATCACGGCCAACGAATCAGCCACTTTCAAGTACTCTTCCGCACTTGCTTTGTCGAGGCATGCATCTCCCTGGGGGATCAAGGAAGCACCTTCTAGGGATGCACATCCACGTTGCTCCTTCGTCAGCATCACATTAGGCCCTACATTTAAAATCAGATTAGATATGACGATATATAATTATAATAACGACAACTTATAGTTATAGTTAAAATCAAGTAAACTTTTATTTCTCATGTAAGAATATATACAGTTAAAATAATTTACAGATGGCATCTTCTGTAAAAAAAAAGAAAACGATTGCCTACTGACGTGCTTATCGAAATGATAGTTGTTACTATACTGAGATGTTCATTGTATACGCCTTTTAAATGAGACATGGCGCGTGAGGCGTCATTTACCTGACGTAATATTGCGTCACCTTGTGCTGTGTGTTGCTATGGGAGCGTATAGGCTTGTTCTGATCTTTCACCGAAAACAACATATAAACCGGTGCGGGTTTTGTTGGTGTACATGTTAATACACGACAAATGCGCGCAACAAAGGACGTGCGCGTATTCACTTAGACACGAATGTGAAGTATATCCATAAGTTACATTTCACGTCATCAGAAGAAAAGAAAAACAGCCGCGGTTTGGAACGTCACACTTGAACGAGCTTTAACAGCTTCAAAAGAAGAACAAAATAGATATTACAGTGACACTGCGTTCAACTACTAGCGTGTTGGTGATGCCTGTACAAGTCTGATCAACGCAGTCGATAACGCAATCGAAATGACGCCTCGTATAATTGCCTACGCTTATCAGGAACTTGTTATCAATGACAAGTTACAATACATGTTATAAGCTATTGAAACCCTTGTATTCGATTGGTTGAGAGTAAAGCTGTTATATAACGTATGCATTTGTTTAATTGATATGATAAATTTCATGAAACGGGGCCTAAGAATGTGAACCCAAATGATGCTGGTGGCATTAGTTCAATACTATTTTACCACTATTTATTGTTTAGCATTCGTTATACGATGTCATTCCCACATGTTGCGTGAATGACTGCGCCAGTCGTTGACGTAACACTGTGTCAACAATGACACCTCGCGCGCAGCGCAAGTCGATGGTGACGCTCACCTGAGTCACGGCTATAGGAGGCGTTGACTTCCACTGAGATACAGCTTGATACGCCAGCGGGACACGTCACACTGGTCGGGTTATCTGAACAGGAGGGAATTCCCTTGTCGGCAGCGATGGCAACATCACTCTTTGAGGTAATATCCATGCACGTGACACATGTTATAGCATTGCCTGGTTCTGTTAAATGACAAAATGAAGTTAAGTAGCATGCTAGCATAAACTCTCTTTAAAGTGATCGCTTTACAGCGTGATTATGACTAGCGATCGCAACGCCAAAGCTTACTTAGTGCACTGACACGTGTAAACTTCCATGTACCGGTGTGCATGGTAGACAAGCTTATGTGGAAAATAACATTCATCTGTGCATGAAATACCGAGAGAATCTCGTCCAACAGTAGGGTTTTTCCACCCCCCTAATCCAGCGTTGCCAATTTCAAAATTGATTTCCTTTCATATTATTTCTGGGAATTGTGAAAAAAATATTATAGAAGTTGCACGGATGTTTTGGGCTGTCCATCATATTGCACGCCATTTGTATTATTATAATCATTATTATTGTAATGATTATTATCATAATTCTTATTATTATTTGATATATTAGTAGTAGTAGTAGTAGAAGTAGAAAAATAAGTAGCAATAGTATTCATCGATTTATTAATTTCTTCTCCTCTTTTTATTCTCCATCGTTCTTCTTTCTTTTCTTCTTCTTCCTTCTTCTTTCTTCTTCTTTCTTATTTGCCTTCTTCTCAATTTAAAAATAATTCTAAAAATTAACAGCAACAGCATTCAACGAGCACTGAAATTATCTCAGATAGAGTTTGGTCTAGAGAGGAACTTCTCTGAGCTCCATGACTATTGACCCGAGGGCGCGAATGTGCGCGCGTGTCGCAACTTTCACTCTCAATACGCCATGGTGCAGCTACTATTTACCTGGGGCAGGCTCCGTCATCGGAACGACCGGTGAGGGCGGGGTACACAAGTCCTCGCTATCGCACACACAAAAGCTTAGGCTGAAATTCAGGTATATCGCACGAAGATAGGGCTTCAGATTGGTTCCAAAGTCTGGCAAATCTGCTTTGACAATTTCAACTGCTGCATCGTCTAGGCATACGTCTCCACCCGGGCTATACCGCGTGTCGCATCCTCGTAATAAGTTCGTCATGGTTATGAGACCTTCTGCAAACCGATACATTAGACCACGTTATATTGAGGACGATGATGATTATAATCATAATCAGCATAATGATAATAATGATAATGATCGTGATAAAAATAAACATCAGTTGGTTTATTTCCTCTTTTTAACATCATTAAAAACCAAAACTAATTTAAACAAAATATATGTGTGTCTTAAATCTGTATTTAAGTGATCGTTGAGATGCTCTAACGCAACGTTCAAGTTTACTCCGTAAACTCACGAGCAGTCGCGTACTAGATGTCACCGTAAGCAGAAATCTCTACTCCTAGTCAAACAACATTTTAACCTCTGCATTCGATATAGGTGAACTTTGTATGTTTTAGTAGTGAAGTCAGAGAAAGTGCCAGTTAAATATTTGTTAATTTCCTGTTCCAATTTTCTTTTGCGTAAGGTTGATGGTAGATAATAATAATAATAATATTGGATATTCATAGAGCGCACATATCCACCCTGCAAGGTGCTCAAAACGCTCCAATATTACCCCGGCCCTGCTAGACTACCGATTTCGGTATCATTCAAGGAATTCCTTCCTACCGGTCCCCATTTACTTTACCTGGGTGGAGTGTGGCAAATGTAGATCAATGTCTTGCCAAAGGTCATTAGTGCTGCTGCGGGATTCGCACCGCGGACCTTGTGATCGACATTCCGGCGGCGTATCCACTCATCCACGACACCTATACATGTCTTTGTCATGAAACTTGTGACATCTTAATCGCAATCTACCTCTCGAGGCTTCTCAAATGAGTTCATAGCAAAACTTGTCGGTGTTCTAAGACCTCATCATTATAGTTTATTTGCCTGTTTGGTTTCTGAAATATCTTTTAATAGTTTGTTCTTACCTGTTTCATGCATGAAGTTAAACAGGACTATCATTGTCAAGCAGCTGGCATTTCCTCTGCAATTTGCCTGTGTAGGCTCCGTACATGAGCTTCTAACCTGATCTGATATGTTCAAAGCCTCGGCGTTCGATGAATATATCGATTGACATTGGTTGCAGGTTATGGCCTCCCCTGCATTCAGAAAAGGAAGAAATTAAGATTCTTCTCCTTGATGTTACTATATCTCTTTTACCCGGTGACAATTGAATACAGGGACCTTTCGTTTATTTTAGGTATATTTCTTTTAAATACAATTACAAAAAATATATATTTTATCGGTGACCAAAATTTGCTTGAACCTTATGTCTGAAAGTACATCGGGCCAGACCCATGCATTGTATTCCCACTTAATAAAATAATTTTTGATTCATTTCTTTGTTTTACAAGAATCCAGTGTCGTACAATAAGTGCAGGAATTATTACGTTGTAGAACATACTGTCACTTGAAAGGAAACATGCTGCATGCATGGCTGCATAATTCTGAGCATAATAAGCAAATAACTACCGTTGGTGAAGGTGATGGGACAAACTATCACTTCCGAGGCGATCTGGATGTAGCTATCTTTCCGAAGCGAAGCTGAGGAAAGATAGCGTATACATTCTGATCGACGAGGAAGTGATAGTTTGCCATCGCCTGAAACCAAAAGGTGATTATTTGCTTTATATTCCACATATAAAACAATTTACCAACAACAAGAAAAGGACGTGTATGCATCTAGATGAAAGACACCAGGCCAAAATTCACACCAAAAAAGTTAAAAGTTTAACCCAACCCCGTGAGGGTACGGTGCGCGCATGTGTTTGCTTTAATTGCGCTCATTGGTAATGCGCGCTTAATTACGCCTGTTTTAGTGCGCTTTTGGATAATCTTCAGTGAAAGTGTGTTGCCCTGTGTAGATAGTACATCTATCTTCAGTGAAAGTGCGTTGCACTGTGTAGATAGTAGTACTATCTACACAGTGTAACGAACTTTTTGCTTCTCCCATCAATAATGGGCGAACTATCTTTCATCACGTGATTTACTTTTGACCAATCGTAGAGCAAGATTCTTAGTATGTGGAATATAATTTATATATCATGATCTAGTGTATTCTATATCATATTATATTATGTTATATAATATTATTTCTTGACTGCTTAAGCGCCTTATTATTGGAGCTCAGCTACGGTCGTGGTAATAATGTGATACCTTTTATTAAGTGTAGAGTATATATATACATATATATATATATATATATACATGAAGTAGCTGTCCTATATCAAGTGACTTATCATAATTATTATTGTTACTACTGTATGTCGTATTTTTTTTAAATTTCATATTTTGTTGTATAGTAGATATAAAATTATGTATTGAATGGCAATATACATACAAAATTATTGTAATTTCTTCACATGATGCTGCATTCAATCCAGGGAGGAAATAATTTCACCCGTCTAACTGTGACGACATCAAAGCATGATCAGTAAATATTTCGCAGCGTACCAGCAAGAAATCAATTGTTAATAGTCGATATTAGATAGCTTAGACAGATACCGAGATGTGATTGGTCCAGAGCTCGTCACGTGATATCAATTGCGAGGATCCAAATTGTTATATTTTCCTGGCCGGTTATATCTTACCAGCTGGTAAAATGAATATATTTTTAATCAATGCATGTCGCCCTCTTGAGGACTGTATGTCACCAATTACACACATTACACCATTACCGAGAGTCATTTTTTGTTTCCAGTATTTTTTCTTCATGATTTTTTTCCCCCTTGAAATTATTTTTTCGATTTTTTTTTTTCCCCAAAAAAATGTTTTTTAGGGCAATGTTTTGTTGTGTTCTCCCTTAAAATTATTTGTTCCATTTTTTTTTCTTCCCCAAAAAATTCCCTCAGCGCTGCGCGCTTTGGGAAAATATAACCACTTGGGAAAATATAACTCCCTTCAGCAGTCCAAATAATGTTATTACACCCCCTGCCAGTCAATAACTGTATAATAACGACTGTACTTTTGAAGGCCATTGTGACCGGGGGAAAAATTCAACTGCGAGCTGGCCGGGGAAATCATACTGCACAGCAGGGCCGGCGATCCCGGTAATACGATTGGAACGTCCCCCTCCCCTCAATTTTGTAAGGAAGGTAATCCCCCCCCCCCCTGGAAAATTTGAAAAAAGCGCACACACAAAAAGGTCGAGCAAATACTGACTAAAGACTGCAACGCACTTTTAAGCTCTGGAGGGCCTAAGAGTGCACCATGCGCACATCTTCTTACTCGGTCGCTAGCCTCCGTCGGATGATATCCTTCAAAATGTACCAGTAAATATTGAAGGAAATATGTATTCCGTAGGTATCACGTAACCACAGTTTTCACTGATTTGTAACATGGCACTTAGCAAAGATGTCTCCATTAAATTTGATTACATTACGAGAATGGCCTATTTCCTCGAATGACCATCAATACAAATGCATACAATACAATGTTAACCAAGAAATGTTTTCAGCAACTAGGCAGAATAGGATATTTTGGATAACATGATGAACTGTTCAAGCCACGAGTATTACAATTTCATTTCCACAGTCGTGTTCGCAACGCTCATTGATTGTCCACTGTAATTTATTCTTCATTTGCCTAATTTTCAATTGATTATTAACCTCCGAAAGAAGTAATTAAAATTATGATTTCCAATTTGAGTTTTGGAAACGCCCTCCTCTCAAAAAAATGAAATGGAAGCTCTTATTACCAATCATGTGAAAGAATATGTTTTGACTAATATGTGATGATACACATTTTTGCCCGGAAACCGCCTACTAATTGATATATTTGGTAAATTATTATATCTATCCGGAGTGGAGAGATATCGCGTAGCCCCATATACATCTTTCTGTGTACAGTGCTTGTAACTTTACCAAGATTCAAGGATCAGAAAAAGTTGATCACGTAGCATGTAAGTATTGATGTGTACTGCAAGGTTCTGAAGTCATCAACATCATAATAAATTCGGCCCAGTCTTGGTAAAGTAACAATCACTGTACACAGAAAGATGTTAATGGGACTACACAATGGTGTTGGGGCTACTTACCTTGATTTCTTTACCTTTCTATGCTCATTACTAAGCCAGTATACATTTTCTACCAAAATTGTTTGGCAAATGAAATTTATTTGTAATATTGAACATTCAGTGTAAGTTTCGTTTGTTTCTGTGAGATTTTTTTAATTTTTTGTTTTACTCAAGTTTATCTTTCATCAAGTGTTACAAAATATTAATTTATTCCCAATCTGACTTGAAGTTAATTTTCCCAGGTCGCTATATTTGTAATATTGAACATTCAGTGTAAAGTTTCGTTTGTTTCTGTGAGAATTTTTTTTTTTTTGTACTTAAGTTTATCTTTAATCAAGTGTTACAAAATATTAATTTATTCCCAAACTGACTTGAAATTAATTTTCCCAGGTCGCTTAAACAGTTTACAATTTCGAATACAATTGTTATAAATCAATGCATGAAGGCAGGCAATTTTGTACATTCAATTATTAAAGGAAAACGCCAAAATAAAGCTAATTTGTAGGCAGTCAAACAAGCAACATATATTGTATGTGAATCATTTGCTGTTCTAATATCTTATGTAATACCAGGGGCGGATCCAGCCGGCGGCAAGAGGGGGGGGGGGGGCAAATCTTGAGAAAATATTTAGCGGCGAATCAGCCAGCCGGCGTACGGGGAATGGGCGGGGGGGGGGGTTAAGATTATATATATATTTTTTTTCTCCAATTTTGGGGGGAAAATGTTGCGCCGACTCAGCCAGCCGGTGAATAAGCGGGGGGGGGGGGGGGGGGGGGGGGGATGCTGGAGAGGAGGATCACTATTTTTTTTATTTTTTTTTAAGGGTGGGAGGAGGTGAAGCGCCATTTTTACATTACTTTCTTTTTAACTCTTACTTTCACCTATCCCAGATAACCCTAAGTTTTTTGTTGCTGTTTCCTATGGAGTTGATAATGCATGATTAAAATAAATAGAGAGAGGGAGAGAGAGAGAGAGAGAACGAAAGAGAGAGAACCACCATCATTATGCAATGGTTCAGGGTTTGTGTAATGTACATTTGAAACCATTTCTTAGCGTCTCAACGTTAACAAAATAGTGAAACTATTTTTGAGGAAAAGCACTGTACTGAACTGAATAAAGAATAATAACTTTATATTGGCTCATACTAATACTGATACGAGCTACAGACAATTTGGTATCGGCAAAGTAAGATGGGGTACTTTTTCATAGAGGTACTCCAAAATGACATTCTGATACTCAACATTTTGTTCTGTATTCATATGTACATGTATATATACCCATAATACAACTGATATTTATGATTTCTTAACGTGACATAGCTTCTTCTCCCCCTGTAAACGAAAAAGAAAACAAGGTTATTTAATAAAAGGATCTTGCGACAAATAATCATTGTGATTCAAATTGATGCAAAGATTTTTTTGAATAAGCAATGCTTTTCACCAGAATCTTCTTTGTAAAAACGACTTTCACAATTCTCGGCCATGCAATTCTGCCACTGTGCTGTAAGATCACTTTCAGATTAGGAGAAGTGTATTCTTTAATGGGTATTTTAAATTGAATGGAACGTCTCAACTCAGTAAGCATGGCTGATATTTGTAAAAGTTGTTTTTACATAGAAGATTCTGGTGAATAGCAGTGCTTATTCAACCAAATATTTGCGCAATTTGAATCACAATCATTGTCGCTTAATCCCTTTAATGACCTTGTTTTCTTTCTCGTCTGCAAGGGGAGAAGAAGCTATGTCACGTTAAAGACACCATAACGATCAGTGTTGTATGCGTATACACAGGCCCCGAGGAACGTTTATTAAAGTGGGGGGGGGGGTGCTAAAGTATTTACGATCAGATAGAGGGTAGCGAGCGAAGCGTAAATTGGTGTGGGGGTTTAGGAGCGGGAAGCTCAGGAGTTTTAGGCATTTAATTACGGTCAGAGAAGCATGCCGCATTTGTGTCACTGGCAGGTCGCAATATTTGTGATGAATGACGTAAATCATGGTCTGTAGCAATATTTAATTTAAATGAGACACTTGCTAAAGACTAACAAAATTAATGTTGACCATTTACTTTCAAAGGTACATTTTATAAATGAAAATAAAATGTATGTTTAAAATATAATACAAGCGAGTACCGTATCATCTCTTTCTCTCACATATTTCGAAAGTTTGTGGCAGATTTGTTTTTTACAGCAATATATACATGTATACCATTTAAAGCAAGTGTCGCTGAAAGTTGCGCAGTACGTCCTGGACTCACCAAATAACCAAATCTCACGCACGCAACAAAAATTCCCAGGTTGGTATCCGGAAGTTGGAGAAGAATCATTTTCGCATCGTATACTGGTTATAATTTCCATGATTTACACATTTTTTCCAATCTGTCATATAGTGTAACAGTAACGACCAATCTGTGAGTAACCAGGGGCGGATCCAGCCGGCGGCAAGAGGGGGGGGGGGGGGGGCAAATCTTGAAAAAATATATAGCGGCGAATCAACCAGCCGGCGAACGGCGATTATTTGTGGGGATGGGGGGGGGGAAATGTTTTTTTTTAGGGGGGTCAGGGGGGTCAGGGGGGCCGCTTTTGTGTTTTGTTTTAAAAAATGAGAACTGTACGTTACTATCCCATTTTTTTTTTACCGGTTTGAGGGGCTAGGGGGGGGGGGCGGACCGGTAGAATCGGCCCGTGGATCCGCGCCTGTGTAATACATACCGAATATAAACATGCAGCAAAGTAGCCCAACGACGATAAGTAATTTCATCTTGATTTCTGTCATGGGAGAAGGAAATAAGAGAAATTATGCCTATCAATAGGTTTGAAAATTAAGGTGGTTGTTCTTTATTGGAATCAAAGCGGGCAGTAATATAGCCATTAACAGTTGTACTTTCTTCTAAAAAAACGCTCTGAAAACATTTTGATAAATAAATCCAATACAGTATGAATATATAATTACAATTGTTTTTTCCTCCATACATCTAGGTACATTGAACTCTGCATATTTTAAAAACTACTTAAGGTCTATCAGAAACCGAATAAATTAATATGAAACAAAAATATATAAATAGAAGAACTACACAAAATAACACCCCAAATGCAAATGACATTAAAAACTCGACTAAAGGTGCCGTTATATCGAAGTTTAAAACTTCTTTGAACACTCTATGTACTATTTCCCGCTATTAAATAAAATGTAACATTTACTTCTTTTTTTTTGGTTGTGTTAATATGTTGAATATGTATGGGGGAAATTATATTGAACCCATGGTGTAAACGAGAAAAACAAATACAATCAAATAAACTTGCATGGGTGCTTACTTCTCGACCTAAACATAATAAGAGGAATTTATAACGACTTAGGTTAACAAAAAACAACGTAAACCCATTCCAAAAAAAAAGTAGACTTTCCAAAAAAGTCTAAAAAAATGGACCGTTTCATGCAATTTCAGATGGTCTAAAATAATACTTTTTCACTCAAATAGAACCAAATTTCTTGGGTTACAGAAAATAATGGTCCTTACCTTTGTCGTTATAGAATATTGTTCTTGCAAGTATCCATCAAAGGTTCGTCGATTGCCACACTTTGATCTGTACAAGGTTTGTCGATTGCCACACTTTATTCTTACCAACGTTCGTCGATCGCCGCACTTTACTTTAACCAAGGTTCGTCGATTGACACACCTTGATCTGTCCAAGGTTTGTCGATCGCCACACTTTACTTTGACTAAGGTTCGTCGATTGCCACACTTTGATCTGTACAAGGTTCGTCGATTGCCACACTTTATTCTTACCAACGTTCGTCGATCGCCGCACTTTACTTTGACCAAGGTTCGTCGATTGCCACACCTTGATCTGTCCAAGGTTTGTCGATCGCCACACTTTACTTTGACCAAGGTTCGTCGATTGCCACACTTTGATCTGTACAAGGTTTGTCGATTGCCACACTTTATTCTTACCAACGTTCGTCGATCGCCGCACTTTACTTTGACCAAGGTTCGTCGATTGCCACACTTAAATTCTTTCCAAGGTTTGTCGATCGCCGCACTTTACTTTGACCAAGGTTCGTCGATTGCCACACCTTGATCTATCCAAGGTTTGTCGATCGCCACACTTTATTCTGACCAAGGTTCGTCGATAGCCACACTCTACTCTTACCAAGGTTCGTCGATCGCCACACTTTACTCTTACCAAGTTTCGTCGATTGCCACACCTTGAACTGTCCAAGGTTTGTCGATCGCCACACTTTATTATTACCAAGATTCGTCGATCGCCACCCTTTACTCTGTCCAAGGTTCGTCGATTGCCACACCTTGATCTTTCCAAGGTTTGTCGATCGCCTCACTTGACTATTATGTTCGTCGATCGCCACACTCTACTCTGACCAAGGTTTGTCGGTCGCTGCACTCTACTTTGACCAAGGTTTGTCGATCGCCACACTTGACTATAACTAAGGTTCGTCGATTGCCACACTTCACTCTTATCAAGGTTCCTCATTCACCATACTTTACTCTTACGAAGGTTTGTCAAGAAAAAAAGTGTCCCCCCCCCCAATAATAATAAAACATGTCTTAATTTGATACCAGTGTTTGAAAAAAAGGAGTATTTTTTTAGACTCTATAACTCAGATTCTACTTCATTTCAAGCCAAATTTCCTTCCCAGGTGTGCAACAGAATTGCAAAAGCTCATTTACTGTGCAGGGGCAGACACTCTTTCCCCTCCCCTCCAAACACACCTCCTGTCACTTGGTCTCTATGCTCCCTCGGGAATCGGTCTTGTCTGCATCTGGTATATCTTGTTCATGTTGTTGTATCATAAGTATATGTGGTGTTATGCTTTAAATGGGCATGAACATTAATTCTTGGCGTGCATATTTTGGTATAATTATGTTTTCTTCATGACAAAAGTTTAACTTGATCACAATCGGTAAAATCATTATGCACTTAACCACATATAACTGAATTGTAGGACCGGTATGGACCAGATTGCACATTATTAAGAAGAAAATGCAAAATCTCCCTATCGTGGGAGAGGGAGACACCGCTCAAACATCCTCGGACCCTGCCCTCACCCACCCCCCCCCCCCCAACCCCCAACCCCCAGCTCAGTTGCTTCACTCCCTCACAAAGTCTCAAGCTCTAAGTTTGCAACCCTGCCAATCTTGCCATTATGCTATACCTGGTGATGAATGGATGAAGACTTTCTTCTGACCCCAAAATTGTTTGCTCATTACAGCACTGTCAATGGCTATTAAGAATCATTGTAAATATGTATAAATAATATGTGAACAGAAATACTGTATGTATTCAAAGTCAATACAATTGACATATTATAAATATTGAAGATGCTTTAATTCAAGATCAATGAAGGCTACGTACTGGTTATAACTTCCAGCCCATTTTTAACATATCATGGGTATGACAAATTGCAAAATATTTGTCGTGTGGAAATGTAATTTGTGAATGATATGAAAGGATCATTATTTAGGTACAAAACAATTGCATACAATTCATCGCGTGTGGAATAACAGACTATAACAAACTACAACCACTTTGTTTTATACATTTACCTACATGCACAATAATGCCTATAATTAGAATTACCCAAACCTATAGGAATTATGCTGTGCAGTATATTTCATTCAGACAATTCATGACTATTCAATGCATATCGACACTGTGAACTTATTAAATATCATAAACGAACACATGCATTATATGCCGATAGGCCAAGTTTTGGAAACCCTTCCCATCAAGACTCTGAAATCTCAATAAAATTGGTACAGCTTTTTGCATGGTATGTCTATAAACAATCACAATATTGAGAGCTTTTGAGATCAATGTTCAAGGTTGTCTTTGAACATCTTTGTCACTAATATACAAGAGGCACGAATGCCAAGTGAGTGACTGCACAAGATTATAATGTATATTTTAGTTTAGAAACTACATGTATTCTCTTCAAGGGATATTTAAGTTTTGGTATAGAGGGCTCTACACAAAACCAGCCGCCATTTTCTTTTTTAATGCTTCCTCTTTTAAACAGAGGTTTTTGTGAGATATTAACACTGATAACACTATCACTGCCTGAAATACAAGACTATCACTATCAGGCATTGACCCCATTACCTCCCCCCTAAAAAGATACTCTCCTTGTGTATATGCATGGTACTGTTGTTTTTTTAAAACTATGACAAAATAGCTAAATGGCCCTTTGAGAGCCTGAAACTTTTCAAAGATAAAGAATTAGACATCAGTTACAACTTTTTCTTGTAGCATGGACCTAGATTGACCTCCCATAGGCCATAGCTTAATAAAAAAATGTTGCTTTATATGCATGAGGTATCCCTGAGCAGCAAATTGTTTACAGAATTTTGTAACAAAATTGACATACCATTTTGGTTTGAGCTGAAAAAAATATATAGCAACAAACAATTTGTTTTCTTCTTTCTATTGATGATTAATGAGCATGGGTGGATCTTAAAGAAAAATAACAGTAATCTGATTCAACTCCTGTATTTTAATGGAACAGAGCAATTGAAAATGGTGCTTCGGACGTTACATTTTCCGTAAACAATGTAGACCCTCATTTAACCCACTAGAACAATAAATACATGAGATTGTATATGGTTTGAATGAGCTTATTAGTTACTCCAAGTGATTATATTGAAGGAAAATATAATTTAATTATAGTAGCGCTAATATTCGAAAAATACTCAAAATTTGAAAAAGTTGTCTCAAATTTTCTGTAAACGATTTTGTAACTTCCGAAACAACTTTGAATTTAAAGTAGTAGAAAATATATGAACTGCAGGACATATCTATCCTAACATTTTGTTAACATCACATGGCAGCTACCCACCAAAACAAAAAATTTGCAACACATTATTACAATACTATTTTATGGTTAAAACCAATTTTCCGCAATGTCCAAAGCAAAGAAACCCAATTAAATGATGATAATCCATATTTAAGGGTATCTAGAGTGAATAAATTGTTTTGAAATAAGTTATTATAAGTTTTAACACAAGTCAAATCACAAATCAGGCCTTTCAAATCAAATAATTTTTTGTAATCACAAGAAGGGTGTTTCCGATGTTACACAATGGTGGTTGCACAAATTCTTGATGATGAGCAGTGTCTGATTCATTGAATGAATATTCATCCACATGATGAGTGAAGAGATCGCCATGTTGTTTTCTAGCGCCAACTTGATGATTTTCAGAAGATACATCATCAAGACTCAATTGTGATATATCCATACCATCAATAGACAAATCGTCCTGACTGAGTGAAGTCGAGGGAGCAAATTTTTGCTTTTTCTTGGGAGTACTGGCAGCAATACATACTGGTGCTTCTGCTAGGTCTACATCATGCAGACTTAGTTGCAATAAATCTTGTAGTAACTCACTCATAAATACTGCCTGAATGAAAATCCATGTCATCGATAGACAGATCATGAATATGATTAATCCCTGCTGCTGTAGCCATGTTAGAGTCTTAGACTTGTTATATCTGAAAATATAATGATTATTTTCAATCATGATATGATTGATTGATATTCACAGAGATTAAGTTTTTATAGTTTTTCAATGCAGTAAATGACTCCTGTCAGTAGGCCTATAATGTAGACTTTCTGCTTACTACATGCTCTACAGAAAATACTTCCACTATCCACCTCCCTGCACGATATATCATTGGCCAGAAGTACATCACCTCATCTGCAATGAGTTGGCAATGTAGGTTGATGCACTGTGTTGGTTTGGGAGTACGATTATGGTGTTTGCATTTGCTCTGTGTGCGTGTCCGTGTGTGTGTGTGTGTAAGTGTCTGGGAGCGCGTGCGAGTGAGTGGATGTATGTAAAACTTGTGGCAGGGGCATTATTACATTACGAAAAGCTCTCGTTGTACCCCACCACTATAGCACAGCAGTCAATGTAATCTGGTAGGGTAGCACTACCCCAGTTTTGTTTCTCTCGTTAAAAACTTTGAGAGAGCTACTACTATTACACAGGCACCAATGGAAATCTGATGGGGTCTCACTACCCAGTCAGACCGCAGCGCTCGCCAAATCGCCCGTATTTATTCAAGTCGTATGCACGTTTTTGCTCCTCATGAATACGTAATAAGCAAAAACATGGCACAGTTCTCATCTTTCTGCTATGCTCAGGATTCAAATAATGACATTGAATTCGTCATGAATATTGAGCCAGAACTATAGACATTATAATGTACTATTCAATAAATAGTGAGTGAAGTTTCAAAATTTGAAAAAAACACCCAAAAAAAACTTGCAAAAAAAAACATTTGAAGAGTCGGATATACACGTTAAATAACCATTTTTATCGGGGGTGCATCTCGCTGAATTTTGGCTTACCACATAATGTAGATATTTTCCTAACATAATATTATACTTCCTGTCAATGTCTGTCTCAATACCACTACCCCACTTTCGATTCTCTCCTTAAAAACTGGGACAGAGCCTTGAGGCTCTAAGTGAGAGATTAAGATATTGGATTGCAGTGGGACTCTTCATCATCTTACGTAATACTAGTGTAAACAAACTCTTACTGGGGTCTGCCTGAAAGGAAATGAGAAGTAGGAAATAAGTATTTTACTTGTTTTAAGATATTTTCATGTCCTAAAGTCACTAATAATTTAGATGAAGACCAAAATGAAAGTTCGAACGAAGCAAAATGACCCATAATTGGCAATATAACAACAATTTTAACTCTGGCAGCAACCCCTGCATGTGTCTTTCTCCCTTCTCCCTTCCTTTCCCCTTGTATCATGCTTATCTCTCTCTCGCTATCACCTCATCAAGGTCTCGGTGGGGGTTGATTACAGCGCTATAGTGTTTACTTAGGGCTTAATCACAATCTCAGCTCTAGTACAAGTAGAAATGGTGAAAGTCAAATGGGGGTTTCAATTTTAAACGACGAGTTTTCGTCATGACAGATAAACTTTGTTATGTTAATTGTCAAGGGTATGGAGTTATACAATAATAAATCCATGTTTTGAGGAGGGAACTTTTGCTTCTGTAGGTTTGTTTGTTCATAGACTTAAAACATGTAAGTCTATGGTTTGATAAATAGAGGTCAAGGAATTTAGGAAATGTTAGTTTTGAGCACACTCTTCCAACTACCATTTGAAATCAATTCATGAATGAAATTATATGCTCTTCCAAAGAATAGAATTACAGCTTTTCTAAATCTAAATAAAACAAAATTGTTATGTATCAATTTGAAATAAAAACCTGCAGACTGTGAATGTACATTTACAGTAATTGAAACTTTTTTATAAATAAAATACATGATATATGCAGAAGCAAGCAAATCAGAAATATCAAGTATAGTCATGAAATCCTAATTAAAATTTGAGCTCAAGGCCTCAAAATCCATGCATTACCCCAAAGTTAACATGAAGCGGAAAATATGCTCAGAAGCGATGAAGATCAAGGTTGGATACATGCTTGTAGGTATTTTACATGGTTGAAAGTATGGCTGAAACTCTGTAGCAGCAGCCATGCACTGATTCAAAATTTAGGACTGATCCATGCAGCCTGCTATAGCAAAAAAAAACATGCGCAATAATAATTAAGATGCCTTTTTGTCAAGTTGTGTTATCACCGAACAAACACACTCTCTGGCCCATCAAAAATTAAGCTTTAGTCTAAAAGAAATGGTCTCTTTACTATGAAATACATCCCAATATCTCCATGGAAGTCTATGTAGGCCTATTGTTGTGGGATCGGTGTGTTATGTTATTGGCGGTAGGAGAGGTACATCAATAAATATGAAGAAGTAAGGATAGACTATATTAAGAGTATTTATTATCTCCAAACTTTGGAGACTCGAATCGGTCACCTCATTATGAATTTCCACATTGTAAAATACAAGATGAAGAGAGAGCCAGCTAGAAAGAGGGTCTTGATCAAATGGAGATCAAAACTAATCTCCTCTCTACAAAGCCAGAACATGTCATAATTTATACAGAAGGAAACAAAATGGATATGAGGGTAGGTTAATTGTGTCAAAGGAACAAAAACAAGTTCCCTCTCACAGTCATTTAGCTAACACATGTAATCTGTTCTGGGAAAGGGTCTTATGAAACAAAGGGGGTTTTGGTTATTGGGAGAAAGACAGGAACTCTTTTGTTTTGGAGGTTTGGGGGCTCTTATCGAGTGTATACAATTTGGGGTTTATTTGGCTAGAATAAGTTATTAAACAAATGTCTTGGAAGGAGGTCTGGTATTTCGCAGGGTGGGTCTTATCTGTATTGGGGCATATACTGAGTGATATTACATATTATTACCGAGGGGTGTAGACTTGTACTACCATTACATAACACTATATAAAGGAATTGGTGTGCACCTAAACTTGGACTACAATTTAAGAAGGATACATCATTCTGGATAATCACCATTCGTTCATCATTTCTTTCCTGGGCCTTGATAACTGCATAGATAAGGTGAGAATATTTCTTCTAAGGTATTGATAGTTGCTCACTCAATGCAATTAAAGTATATAGATTATTATTAATGCATGACATATTTCAGCATGAATATTTGTGTTTAACATCTATAATGTACAATAGTCTAGTATATGTGTTATAAATGATTTAAAGATGTATGTGCTCCATTGTTATGATTGTAATTTTGCAAATGACCTTGTATGTAGTGTAACGGCATGATCGAAACCAAAAAGGTACAAAAAGTTTGAAGTTGAAGACTATCAGGCCAAATAGGAATTATTCATGAATCAGTTCAACAAAAAGTATGATGATGCGCCCAGCACCAATCCTGCTTGCATCAGAAAGAAAGAAAAATATTCCATTACAATGGTGTCTTTATTGACTCATTTAAAAGAGAACATATTTTTTGGATCAAAAGATTTGTTTTGTTAAGCTCTGTTTATATGCAAATTAGGCCTAATTTGCATAATTTATTCAAATGTATCATAGGCATCGTTTAACAATGTTAAATCTGAGATGCACGGCCCTACGTGTTATCAGTGTCTGTGACATTGTGTAATATTGAAGCCCTAAAAAAAATCGCGCTTCAAAATGATCAAGAAGTGCCTCAAAAAAGTTTTTAAAAATCTGTGACCGGTTTTACCAAACTTGTTTTCCCCAATAGACTGTAGTGTGATTTTCCAATCATAAATATCTTAATAATCAGACAGGCGATCGGCTTGTAAAATTCATGGGGTTCCTGATTCACCTAAAGGTTTATAATTATCATTGCAGCATGAGCTAACTCCAGGATTTTGTTTCAGAATCTAAAACAAAGTTACCGGATCCCTTTAATGGAAATGGAATATCTAATGGTGTTTTTACCAATATATTGGAATTTACATATTCCTTGGATCAAAAGAAGAAAATTAAGCCAGAGACACTCTGTATGTATGCAAATAAGCAAATTAGGCTTTATTTTGTGAGATAATGAAAAACTGAGTGTAAGACTTGAAAATGTCTACAATTTTAATGACAGACATCAAATGCATAATTTTGTATGAAAAATGGTTGAAACCACTGCTTTTTAGAGAGCACCCTCTTTTGTTTGAATGGCTTTTTAAAAAATAATGATGGGCCTTTTACTAAGTCACTTTTTCTTTACCTTTCGAGCATGGTGGTGTTGTACTTATTTGTTTGTAATGTTATTGTGCATGTTTTGGATACTAAAGCTCGGCCTTGCCAAAACTATACCACCCCTTTAATGTAATCAGTGTAAAGGCATATCTTTTCAATGCTACACATTGATGATTTAGGGAGTAGAGAGAAATTAATGAACAGATGGATTTGTGATGTAACCAGTTGATTTTTCAACAAAATTAATATGTCCAACAGATAGGGTGCCCTTTCCAATGAAAACGATACCAAGAATAGTCCTTTTGGTAGTGTAGTTTTGCATCTCTTAGAGTGATACCATGTCAGGTTCCCTTTTTTGTCAATTTTTACCAAGTCAATGCGCCTTAGCGTCGAACAATGAGCAATACGTATGCCATTATTAGTGTGCATTCAGCTGTGTGCCAATGATGGGCATAGTTGCTCGATGATATGATGACAGGAACTGCGATTTATAAGGAAGTGACTTGGTAAAAATGGCAAAAGTGGGAACCTGACATGGTCTTACTTAAGACGTCTTACAACAAAAACTACTCGTCCAAAATTACTGTTCTTGGTATCGTTTCTCATCTGAACGGACATTCTATCCGGTGGACACAATCATTTTGTTACTTTATTTTGGAAAGTTCCCCATTGCATTGTTGTTGTTGTTGTTGTGTTTTGTTTGTTTGTTTGTTTGTTTTTTTTGGGGGGGGGGGGCTCCCTGTTTATACATAAACCATTGTTATCAGAGCTAGTTTAAAAGTTGTTTCAATGTAATTTGTAATGAGTGTAACAATGACAATTTTGTTTTCCTTCTATTTTTTTCATATATAGATAATGTTTAAATATCTGCATTACTGAAATGATCTTTGAATTTTTCAAATATTTCTATAACTAGAATATTCATGTTCCTATGATAATATTTTGAAAAACATAAGTCTTCCATATGTATTCATTTAATTCAAATAGTAATACAGACCTTTCACTCTGTAATAACAAGCATTTTTCACTTTCTTAAACCCATGTTACATTAACCCATTTATGAGTGGTTCCCAAAATGTCCTGAACAGGGGAACATGGACTGCAGTTGATTACCAGCACTTGTAAGAGTAATAATAAAGTGAATATCATATATATATATATTTTGAATAAAAACTACTTTGTTGTTTCAAAGATTTGATTATGATTGATATACATTGTTCTGTATGAGATAAGTGTCACATTCAACAAACCTTGGACAGATCAAGGTGTGGCAATTGCATACCTCTGAAAGAGTAAAGTGTGGCGATCGACGAACCTTGGTAACAATGTGGCGTGGAGATCGACGAACCTTTGAAAGAGTAAAGTGTGGCAATCGACGAACCTTAGTAAGAGTATGGTGTGGCGATCGACAAACATTGGAAAGAGTAAAGTGTGGCGATCGACGAACCTTAGTAAGAGTATGGTGTGGCGATCAACGAAAATTGGGAAGAGTAAAGTGTGGCAATCGATGAACGTTGGTAAGAATAAAGTGTGGCAATCGACAAACCTTGGACAGATCAAGGTGTGGCAATCGACAAACCTTGGACAGATCAAGGTGGGGCAATCGACAAACCTTGGAAAGAGTAAAGTGTGGCAAACGACGAACGTTGGTAATAATAAAGTGTGGCGATCGACGAACCTTGGTAATAATAAAGTGTGGCGATCGACGAACCTTGATCAAAGAAAAGTGTGGCGATTGACGAACCTTGAAAAGAGTAAAGTGTGGCGACCGACGAGCCTTGAAAAGAGTAAAGTGCGGCGATCGACAAACCTTGGAAAGAGTGTGGCGATCGACTAGCCTTGGACAGATCAAAGTGTGGCGATCGACAAACTTTGGAAAGAGTAAAGTGTGGCGATCAACGAGCCTTGGAAAGAGTAAAGTGTGGCGACCGACGAGCCTTGGAAAGAGTAAAGTGCGGCGATCGACAAACCTTGGAAAGAGTAAAGTGTGGCGATCGACGAACCTTGGTCAAAGTAAAGTGTGGCGATCGAAAAACCTTGGACAGATCAAGGTGTGGCAATCGACGAACCTTGGTCAAAGTAAAGTGTGGCGATCGACAAACCTTGGACAGATCAAGGTGTGGCAATCGACGAACCTTGGTCAAAGTAAAGTGTGGCGATCGACGAACGTTGGTAAGAATAAAGTGTGGCAATCGACAAACCTTGTACAGATCAAAGTGTGGCAATCGACGAACCTTTGATGGATACTTGCAAGAACATTGTTCTATAACGACAAAGGTAAGGACCATTATTTTCTGTAACCCAAGAAATTTGGTTCTATTTGAGTGAAAAAGTATTATTTTAGACCATCTGAAATTGCATGAAACGGTCCATTTTTTTAGACTTTTTTGGAAAGTCTACTTTTTTTTGGAATGGGTTCGTATTAATTAATGATTGATTTTCTAAAATAAGATACCTAATGTTGGGTAATTTCAAAGTGAAGGAAGTTATTAAAAAAAGAAGGAGTTAAAATGCAACCCAACATGTCACTTACATTTTGTCTGTAAACACCGATTGAAAAGTAGACTGTCCACTAGCTCATCAACTGTTCCGATGCTCGTGACTATTTGTACACAACTAAACGGTTTGCATGAATGATCACCCGCTTAAATAAAAATAAAAAAACATATCTACTGGTGATACGGGGTCAGGGGGGCTACTTGTGGGTGGATCCAGATTAGTGTTTATATGAGGGTGAATAAACTTTCATTTGCAAGGATCAGGCATGAAGTGGGCATTGCCAAAAACCCGTTTATGGCCCCACTTGGATAGGAGTACGTGGTAGGTATATTATATGTACTAGTATGAACTTATTTGAATTTGGAATTGGAAAAAATGAATCCATTGGTCAACAAAATTATCCCTTGAGATACGCTAAGCTGGCAAACTCGTTTACTTATCAGTTATATTCGACCATGGGTCTAAAACCGCGTTATAAAACAGTCTTCAGACTATATTATTTTTTAATCCTGTTCTTCAACAAAACTTAACCAAACACGGAAAAGACAATCATTCCCTTATAGTGGGGGCTGTTAGCGCAAAATAGGGGTTGTTTGGTGCAGATTTTTCTAAAAGCACCAAATTTGGCCCAGAGGTAGATTATACCATACTTTTACGATTTCTGCCGGACGCCAACTAGAAGGGAACCCTCTGGATATGCCATATTTGGCAAATCCAAAATGGCCGACATCTGAGTTAAAAGGGTAGCGTAGTTTCAAAAGAAAAAGCGCTTGTATGATAAAAGTTTATATATTTATGGGGTTTTCGGGGTCAGAGAATCCGATAATAATGTTTTTTTCTTCGATTTTAGATCTCCTCGGGTCATACTGGTAATATTGGTCAAATCCAAAATAGCCGCCATCTGAGTTACATGTCAAGTGTAGTAACGAAAGGAAATGAGCTAGTATGATAAAAGTTTATATATGTATGGGGTTTTCGGGGTCAGAGAAACTGATCATGATGTTCTTTCATCGATTTGAGGTCTCCTTGGGGCTGCCATACTGGTCATATTGGTCAAATCCAAAATGGCCGCCATCTGATAGTTACAGGTCAATAGTAGTTCCAAAAGGACAAGAGCTAAAATGATAACAGTTTATGTATTTATGAAGTTTTCGGGGTCAGAGAATCTGGATATCATGTTCTTTTATAAATTTGAGGTCTACGTGGGGCTTTCATGCTGGTCATATTGGTCAAATCTAAAATGGCTGCCACCTTTGAGTAAAAAAGTCAAGTGTAGTTTCAAAAGGAAAAGGGCTAGTATGATAACAGTTTATATAGTAAGGGGGTTTTCGGGATCAGAGAGTCTGATTATGATGTTGCTTGTATCAATTACAGGTCTCCTTGGGGCTGCCATGCTGGCCATATTGGCCAAATAAAAAATGGCCGCTATCCGATTTAAAGGTCAAGCGTAGTTCCAAAAGGAAAAAGACCAGTATGATAAAAGTTGATAAATTCATGGGGTTTATGGGGTGGGATAATCTGATTATAATGTTCTTTTATCAATTTTATGTCACCATCCTGTCCTAAGGCTACAATAAAGTCGATTTCCTGGTTGAAGAAGATGAGGAAAGATGCGCCAAATTCACACTTGAGTGGGTATAAATCTTGGCCTGCGCCCATCTGTTTTATCAATATGCAAACTTTCCTCTGTGAAATGCATAATAAATTCGTTTTCGAGCGTTGGCAAGGAAAATAGAAAAACAGTAGAAACAGACAATGAATAAAGAAATGAACAGCCTGTTCGATTTATTTTGAAGCATTATCTTTAAAAACCCGGACAGCTTTATCTTTATTATCCTTACAAAATAACATCTATAATCACTCTGTTATTCCATCACAGAGTGATTATAGACGTTATTAATCACTCTGAGATTGAAAAAAATACCATTACGAATTGCATTATGTAACGTCTAGACATAAAGGTCGAATCTCAACTTTATTTTTCTTATTCTTCTTTTACATTTCAAAGCGTTGCATGGGATCTTAATCCTGTTTTTTCTACATACATCAATGCCCCCATTGAAGCATTCTTTGAATCTGGTCACGCTTCGAAAAGTTCGTGGCTTAGCATTTTGCTTAGACTGTTGATGATCAAAATAAAGAAAGCACCTTTTATAGATCAGGAAGAGTGTGAAGAAAGCACACAGTAGGAGCAGTGCAATTTAAATATCAAGGGATGGATTAGAGTTTATTTCTAAAATGAAATGAAAGGGCATTTTATTTTCAAAGGGTCCTTTTACTTCATTTAAGAAATAACCTCTCTTTGTATCTTAGAGACACTTTCTCTTGGAAGTCAAATAAACTCGAGAGCATCCTGGGGCTCCGCCCCGGAACCGTTGGTAGGGGCTCTTACAGGCCCCTAAAGCTGTGCCATATTGTACGGATCCATTAGAAAGCTAAATAAGCCCAATAAATAATTTGTTATATATATATATATATATATACATACATATTTAAGATATATATATATAATTCTCCTATGCAAACTTCCTCTGTGAAATGCATAATAAATTCGTTTTCGAGGGTTGGCAATGAAAATAGATAAATAGTAGAAACAGACCATGAATAAAGAAATAAACAGCTTGCTCGATTTGTTTTGAAGCATTATCTTTAAAAACCCGGACAGCTTTATCTTTATTATCCTTACAAAAAACGTCTATAATCACTCTGTTATTCCATCACAGAGTGATTATAGACGTTATTAATCACTCTGAGATGGAATAAAATACCAATACGAATTGTATTATGCAACGTCTAGACATAAAGGTCGAATCTCAACTTTATTTTTCTTATTCTTCTTTAACATTTCGAAGCGTTGCATGGGATCTTAATCCTGTTTTTTCTACATACATCAATGCCCCCCATTGAAGCATTCTTTGAATCTGGTCACGCTTCGAAAAGTTCGTGGCCTAGCATTTTGCTTAGACTGTTGATGATCAAAATAAAGAAAGCACCCTTTATAGATCAGGAAGAGTGTGAAGAAAGCACACAGTAGGAGCAGTGCAATTTAAATATCAAGGGATGGTTAGAGTTTATTTCTAAAATGAAATGAAAGGGCATTTTATTTTCAAAGGGTCCTTTTACTTCATTTAAGAAATAACCTCTCTTTGTATCTTAGAGATACTTTCTCTTGGAAGTCAAATAAACTCGAGAGCATCCTGGGGCTCCGCCCCGGAACCGTTGGTAGGGGCTCTTACGGGCCCCTAAAGCTGTGCCATATTGCACGGATCCATTAGAAAGCTAAATAAGCCCAATAAATAATTTGTTTATATATATATATATATATATATATATATATATATATATATATATATATATACATATTTAAGATATATATATATAATTCTCCTATGCAAACTTCCTCTGTGAAATGCATAATAAATTCGTTTTCGAGGGTTGGCAATGAAAATAGATAAATAGTATAAACAGACCATGAATAAAGAAATAAACAGCTTGCTCGATTTGTTTTGAAGCATTATCTTTAAAAACCCGGACAGCTTTATCTTTATTATCCTTACAAAAAACGTCTATAATCACTCTGTTATTCCATCACAGAGTGATTATAGACGTTATTAATCACTCTGAGATGGAATAAAATACCAATACGAATTGCATTTGCAACGTCTAGACATAAAGGTCGAATCTCAACTTTATTTTTCTTATTCTTCTTTAACATTTCAAAGCGTTGCATGGGATCTTAATCCTATTTTTTCTACATACATCAATGCCCCCATTGAAGCATTCTTTGAATCTGGTCACGCTTCGAAAAGTTCGTGGCCTAGCATTTTGATTAGACTGTTGATGATCAAATAAAGAAAGCACCCTTTATAGATCAGGAATAGTGTGAAGAAAGCACACAGTAGGAGCAGTGCAATTTAAATATCAAGAGATGGATTAGAGTTTATTTCTAAAATGAAATGAAAGGGCATTTTATTTTCAAGAGTCCTTTTACTTCATTTAAGAAATAACCTCTCTTTGTATCTTAGAGACACTTTCTCTTGAAAGTCAAATAAACTCGAGAGCATCCTGGGGCTCCGCCCGGAACCCTTGGTAGGGGCTCTTCCAGGCCCCTAAAGCTGTGCCATATTGTACGGATCCATAAGAAAGCAAAATAATTTGTATAACATATTTATAGATATATATATATATATATAGTTCTCCTATGCAAAATTTCCTCTGTGAAATGAATAATAAATTCGTTTTCGAGGGTTGGCAATGAAAATAGATAAACAGTAGAAACCGACCATGAATAAAGAAATAAACAGCTTGTTCGATTCTTTTGAAGCATTATCTTCAAAAAACAGGACAGCTTAACCTGTATTATCCTTAAAAACAATCTCGCTTACATTCTTTTGTAACTAGTCAGGTTTGGCGCATTTAAAACTCAATGATCTATTACATTAAATTAATCATTAAGAATCATTAAACATAATCATTGAATAACAAAGTAATATTTTGATATTTGCACTAACCTAGACAATTTTGATTGAATGTTTAAACTTTGAAACGCTACTATTACGACTACTCATATTATCGCTTATTTAGGAGCGCTAAAAACAAAAGTACCATAGCTTTTACAAAATCGCAGAATTCGAAGAGAAACTTAAAATGTCTACGTTATCAATTGACATACCATTACAATCAATTTCGGCGATGGCACTCTCTTTTTAAGATATTGGCACACAAAATGTGGACAGTTCGTGCTGCAATCTAATTATAAACCTTTAGTTCAGTCAGGAATCACATGACGTGTACAAAAGTGTTCGACAGCCCCCCCCCCCCCCACTGTCAATAATAATAATAATGATAATAAATAAATAAATATAAAAAAATTGCTTATTCACCGGCTGGCTGAGTCGCCGCTAACTATTTTCTCACGTATTAGCCCCCCCCCCCCCACTCTTGCCGCCGATTGGATCCGCCACTGTGTAAGTCCCCTCCTATGGGAAATTCGATAATCTTGACACGCAAGGGGGACTCGCACCACGAAGAATATATAGACAGTTTTATAGTGTTTCTGTTAATAGGCCTACTAGATAAATTGGCTTGACTAAATAAATCAGTAATATCATTTAAAACCAAATTTAATGAAAGTTATATTTCGTCTTCAATAATCGTTAACGGCAAAGTGAAATTAATAAATATAATATTCATTTATTCAGCCTAATCAATGCTTGACTCAATAAATTTAAATTGTAGTTTGCTTTATTTTAAATTGTGAATGACTTAATAGGCCTGCAAGATAGATTGGCTTGACTAAATAAAGTAAAAATCCATTAAACGCGCGCTTTGGTGGATACAATTTTGGAAGTTAGGAAATGTTTTTTCAGAGTAAAAAGTGTCCATGGATCCGAGTCCCTGGGGACTCGGATCACGATAATGCGGAAATACTTTACCGATGATCAGATTCCAAGTAAAGTTTACTATAAAGAACCAATTCCGACATTCGGAAATGATTTTCGGTGACTGAACTTCGAACTTCTAAGACGTCAGTGCAGGACGAAACTAATACATTATGAAATCTAGAACTATGAAATTACCATGTCGAATAAAGGAATGTTTCTTACTGCACGTTAAGTTTTTTTTTAATGTGATTATTTTGACATTTTCCCGACTACCAACTTCACATAAAATGTTTCATAGGAATACAAACGTTAGTAACTCTATACATGATAGGAATACACAAGTTGTTTTTGTTAATTCTGCGCTAATTCCCCCCTCCCCCTCCCCCTTATGAATCAAATCGTACCTCTGTTTGGGTCGAGTTCGCATTATAGGAGTGCAAGTTCTCTGTAGCAGATATCCGTTGTCCGATTTATTGAAGCCGAGAGTTGCAAGTGTACATTTGAGTCATAGCATTAGCTATGTAAATGTTAATGTGATATATGGTTCGTTCTTGATTTGACTTTCACTTTAAAGGTTGAAGGTTCGAATTCCAACCCGTCACCAACGTCCTTTGACAGGACATTAATCCATATTTGCCAAACCCAACCAAAGGGGAAAATGGATACCTAGTAATTGATGGGGTTAGGCCTATTATACATTCAGAACCTGAAGAAATAACAGTATAGTTAATCTGTTGTGATGTGTAAATCAGAACCAATTCGTACTAAATATTCGTATAAGTTTTTGTAAATATTATTTGTTCCTGTTATCCTCCTGCACTGATGTAGGCTTTTCGGAGCAATTATCTCGTATTGGGTCTTCTAACTATGTATGTAGGCCTGATAGAAACAGAGAGAGAGAGAGAGAGAGAGAGACAGAGAGGGGGGGGGGGGGGAAGAGAGAGATTGAGAGAGAGAGAGAGCAAGACGAAGAGGGTATTTTAAAATACTGAGAGCAAGAAGGGGAGGAATGACTGCATTGATGATAAGAGGTAGGAGCGTGACGAGAAAAATAAAGGAAAGGAGAAGATTAAACGTGATATCCTGCCATCTGTCTGCAGTAAAAGAAAGTGTCATGCAGCTCCACTTTATGTTAACGGTCTTGAGATGGCGCTGTTCATTCTTGATAGGCTGCTTGGTGAACATTTTCGTCTGCAACCATCACTTTTTCCCCATTGGTCCCTCCTCTTTTGACTTGTTATCCATGTTATCTGCTTTCTCTTTTGCATCATTAGGAAGTATTAGATTTGCACGACGAGAACGTGGACTGCAAAGTGAGTAATCCTGTTAAGGCAATGTGACGTCCTTTTAAAGTGACTTGGTTACATTGTTAAAGGTTGATGAAAAAATTGCTTAATTTTTTGTATAAAATGTTACTTATTATATTCCACATACTAAGAATCGTGCGCTACGATTGGTCAAAAGTAAATCACGTGATGAAAGATAGTTCGCCCATCATTGATGGGAGAAGCGAAAAGTTCGTTACACTGTGTAGATAGTAGTACTATCTACACAGTGCAACGCACTTTAATTGTATACGCTGCGTATTGCCCTCCTCTTTAAGCGCTTTTAGTGTTAGTACGCGAACTTTGGCCACGCGCGAATTATAGTCGCACCACCATACTGCATGCACTGTACGTATCGTACACCGTTTGCTAGCTTTTAATTGATGACTTGTTGCTTTAAAATGACGGAAGAAGTGAAATGTTTCTGATGTGGAATATAAAGCAAATAATCACCTTTTGGTTTCAGGCGATGGCAAACTATCACTTCCTCGGCGATCTGAATGTATACGCTTCGGAAAGATAGCTACATCCAGATCGCCTCGGAAGTGAGAGTTTGTCCCATCACCTTCACCAACGGTAGTTATTTGCTTACTATAATTCCTACTACTGTACTAACCCTCTGACATGCACAAAATCCTGAAAAAATTCTTAAACCACGTCGATGTATGACACCCTCAGTGATTAACATTAAATTCTCCCAACCATTTTTGAATTTTCCCAACCGTTTTTCCATTAAAAAAAAGACATAAAACAGGCTATACAAAATCTATCAACACTTAAATGTCTGGAATGGAATGTAGAGCCATTGTATTGCTTTGTGACGATTTCTATTCACCTAAAATGTAAATTAAATGTAATAATATAGTTGGGAGAATTAAGGAATCGATCAGATCAGTTTTTCCCAATTTGTACCATGAATAATGGTCCGTTTTCACTCAAATTTTTAGATTATCTTTAATTTTACATCTAGCATTGAAGTCACTACCTTAGCACCACTATCTCTCATCTAAACAATGTTACAAAGTCCCTTTAAGGCACTGGCAGTGACGTCACATTGCTTTAAAAGGGTGTCACACGTACAAGCAATCCACGTTCTCGTCGTGCAAATCTAAAAGTCCCTATTAATGACCCACACCTTCGCTTTTCTCATTTCATCTTCCAACGCGTGTGGCATGTTACTAAGTGCTTTATAGGTCTTGCATATTATTAATATCAATATCTTGTAACGGAAGAAGGAATGCAATCTCAATAGTATTGAATAAGGATATTCCTTATTATGTTGTGTACATGTAATTTGCGCTTGAATTTCACCATAATGATAGGCCTACAGTATAATCTCTTTCTCTCTCCCTCCCCCTCTCTCTCTCTCTCTCCATATCTATCTCTATCTCTCTCTCTCTCTCTCCACGTATATTAAGCAAATAATTACCGTTGGTGAAGGTGATGGGACAAACTATCTGGGTGTAGCTATCTTTCCGATGCGAAGCTGAGGAAAGATAGCGTATATATTCTGATCGACGAGGAAGTGATAGTTCGCCATCGCCTGAAACCAAAAGGTGATTGTTTGCTTTATATTCCACATCTAAAATAATTTAACTACAAAAAGAAAAGGACGTGTATGCATCTACATAAAAGACACCTAGGCTCAAAATCACACCAAAAAAGTTAAAAGTTTAACCCAACTCCTTGAGGGTACGGTGCGCGCATGTGTTTTCTTCAATTGCGCTCATTAGTAATGCGCGCTTAACTACGCCTGTTTTAGTGCGCTTTTGGATAATCTTCAGTGAGAGTGCATTGCACTGTGTAAATAGTATCTCTATCTTCATCAGTGAAAGTGCGTTGCACTGTGTAGATAGTAGTACTATCTACACAGTGTAATGAACTCTTTGCTTCTCCCATCAATAATGGGCGAACTTCTTTCATCACATGATTTACTTTTGACTAATCGTACAGCGAGATTCTTAGTATGTGGAATATAACTCTTTTTATATACCTACCTATCTATGCAGCTATAACATTTATATATCTATCTATCCTTTTTTCTCTCCCTCTTGCAATATTTTGGTTTCATACTTTTTCTGTCTCTGTCTAGTGTATGTTTATTACTTTTTTGTATCATTGTGCCACTAGTTTCATTGAGTAAACTTACACTCAATACGCCCTCCTTTTTATGTTTTGTTGTTGCGACATTTACTATGCTAAGTTAAATGTGCTTATACTCAAATTCATGATGCGTGAAATGAGAGAAAAAAAATACATATTCCATAAAAATTAACATTTAATATATACCTTATGAGTTAGCATAGAAACATGGATCAGCAGTGTAACACTTTAGAGAGATGAAAAGAGCAACATGCAATAATATTGTCGGTAAATAATAATGTTTGAATATCTGTTACCCATGAAATAATTTGCAATATTTGTTCTGCTTGAACATTAAATCATTCAGCAGATATTAAATGTATAACGAAGAAACGATAATAGCTAAATACGATAATATAGACTATTCCAAGAATCTAATGTTATGTTGTTCCCATACATAGACATTTAAATACCCTATGGCTATGTGTAAGCCAATATAAAGATGAGAACAGCAACATGAAACAATACAGTTACATTGTATGAAAAAGAAGAACAATTAAGATAAGGTCACTTTTTTAAGGTCAGCCATTGGCATATTTTTTTTTTTTTTTTTTTTTTTTGGGGGGGGGGGGACATTAAAAAAAAAGGGGGGGGGGGCTTGGTTCCGAATTACACACATAAACAAAATTAAAGGGGGGGTTAACCCACCCCCTCCCCCCCCCCCTCCCCAAAACCCCTGCGTACGCGCCTGACCACCACCACCAAACACACGGACGCATATATACACGAACAACCCAACCACCACACCACAATCACAAAAATACTACCACCCAATCTTTTTATTCGGAGGATGAACCACCGCTCCTGACTCAATCCGAAGAAAAAAAATCAATAATATAGGTGCTTCATCGATATTTGATGTGAAATAGTTTTCAGGGCTAAATATCTCAAGCTAAGAAGCAATTCAATTTAAATTCCACTAAATTATGGATAATTACATTTGATTCAAATTAGAGAAAGTTATTTGTGACACATGCATTTACGCAATAAGAGCTTTCATAGGTCAGAATTATGGTGCCAAGAAATGGACCCTGTTTCATAAAACTTGATATCAATATCATTAACAAGTTACAAGCTACTGTTATAAGCTCCTGAAATCAAGACATCTGATTGGCTGAGAGCAAATTTGTCATAGAAATGTTGCATTTTTTATAGATAAAAAAAATTATGAAACGGGTCCCTGTTCCCCTTCCAAGTTTGGCCAAACTCTGTATTAAATGGGCTTGTATCATCTGCATGGATGGGGATGGATCTCAACACGTTCTTACTGCTTGAAAATAAACATTGAGAGAACGACATTTAGGATCGAGGCAACAGCAAAGGCGTAACTAGCACCAAGCCCTGCAGCCGAGGACACCAGATCACAGTCGCGCGGTGTAGTATTGTCTGCGAGAGGGGAAGGCGGCATGCAGTTTTCGGCGCCGTCACAGACGCAGAGGGTAACGCCAGAGATGCTCTCGAAAGTCAAGTCATCTCCATCTGACATCACGGCCAGCGAATCAGCCGCTTTCAAGTACTCTTCCGCACTTGCTTTGTCGAGGCATGCATCTCCCTGGGGGATCAAGGAAGCACCTTCTAGGGATGCACATCCACGTTGCTCCTTCGTCAGCATCACGTTAGGCCCTACATTTAAAATCAGATTAGATATGACGATATATAATTATAATAACGACAACTTATAGTTATAGTTAAAATCAAGTAAACTTTTATTTCGCAGGTAAGAATATATACAGTGAAAATAGTTTACAGATGGCATCTTCTCTAAAGAGCAAACGATTGCCTACCGACGTGCTTATCGAAATGATATTTGTTAATATACTGAGATGTTCATTGTATACGCCATTTAAATGAGACATGGCGCGCGAGGCATCATTTACCTGACGTAATGTTGCGTCACCGAGTTCTTTTGTTGCTATGTGAGGGTATAGGCTTGTTATGATCTTTCATCGAAAACAGGATATAAACTAGGGCGGGATTTGTTGGTGTACATGTTAATACACGACAAATGCGCGCAACAAAGGACGTGCGCGTATTTACTTAGACACGAATGTGAAGTATATCCATAAGTTACATTTGACGTCATCAGAAGAAAAGAAAAACAGCCGTGGTTTTGGAACGTCACACTTGAACGAGCTTTAACAGCTTCAAAAGAAGAACATAGTAGACATTTCACTGACACTGCGTTCAACTTCTAGTACTAGCGTCTTGGTGATGCCTGTACAAGTCTGATCAACAGAGTCAATAACGCAATCGAAATGACGCCTCGTATTATTGGCTACGCTAATCAGGAACATGTTATTAATGACAAGTTACAATACATGTTATAAGCTATTGCAACCCTTGTATTCGATTGGTTGAGAGTAAAGAATGTGAACCCAAATGATGTTTCAGGCATTAGTTCAATACTAAGTTACCGCTATTTATTTTTTAGCATTCGTTTTACGATGTCATCCACACATGTTGCGCCAATGACTGCGCCAGTCGTTGACGTAACCCTGCGTCAACAATGACGCCTCGTGCGCAGTGCAAGTCGATGGTGACACTCACCTGAGTCACGGCTATAGGAGGCGTTGACTTCCACTGAGATACAGCTTGATACGCCAGCGGGACACGTCACACTGGTCGGGTTATCTGAACAGGAGGGAATTCCCTTATCGGCAGCGATGGCAACATCACTCTCCGAAGTTATATCCATGCATGTGACACACGTTATAGCACTGCCTGGTTCTGTTAAACAACACAATGAAGTTAAGTAGCAGGTTAGCACTGACATGTGTCAACTTCCATGTACCGGTGTGTACGATACACAAGCTTATGAGGAAAACAAAATTATCTGTGCACGAAATATGGAGAGAATCTCGTCCAACAGTAGGGTTTTTCCATCCCCCTAATCCAGCGTTGCCAATTTCAAAATTGATTTCCTTGCTTTTTATTTCTGGGAATTGTGAAAAAAGTATTATAGAAGTTAGACGGAAGTTTTGGGCTATTCCTCATATAATACGCCATTTGTATTATTGTAATCATTATTATTTTAATGATTATTATCATTATTATTATAATTATTATTATCATTATTCTTATTATTATTTGTAATATTAGTAGTAGTAGTACTACTACTACTACTACCAGTAGTAGAAGTAGAAATATTAGTAGCAGTGGTAGTAGTATGTATTCAATTATTCATCGAGTTATTAATTTCTTCTCCTCTTTTTATTCTTTATCGTTCTTCTTCCTTTTCTTCTACTTCCTTCTTCTTTCTTCTTCTTTCTTATTTGCCTTCTTCTTCTTCTCATTTTAAACAGTAAGTACGAACATGCATCATTCTACAAATTAACAGCAACAACATTCAACGAACGCCGAAATTCTCTCAGATAAAGTTTGGTCTAGAGAGGAACTTCTCTGAGCTCCATGGATATTGACCCTAGGGCCCGAATGTGCGCGCGTGTCGCAACTTTTACTCTCAATACGCCATGGTGCAGCTGCTATTTACCTGGGGCGGGCTCAGTCATCGGAACGACCGGTGAGGGCGGGGTCGGAGCGACCGGTGAGGGCGGGGTACACAAATCCTCGCTATCGCACACACAAACGCTGAGGCTGGAATTCAGGTACATCGCACGAAGGTGGGTAGGAAGCACGGTTACTGGGTCTGGCAAACCTGCTCGGATAATTTCGACTGACGCATCGTCTAGGCATACGTCTCCAGCCGGGATCAACTGGCTATACTGCGCGGGGATGCATTCTCGTTCAATGTCTGTCAGGATGATGAGTCCTTCTGCAAACCGATACATTAGACCACGTTATATTGAGGACGATGATGACTATAATTATAATTAGCATAATGATAATAATGATAATGATCGTGATAAATAACATAATTAGGTTTATTTCCTCTGCCCCCAAACCAAAAAAAATTTAAACACAATACATGTATGTCTTAAATCTTGATTTGAGTGATCTTTGAGATGGTCTTACGCAACGTCCAAGTGGTTATCTCATCAACTCAGCTCTCAATTAACATAAGAAAAAGAGGATTTTGGAGGTCCGATGGTCATCGATTAGACAGTGTGTGTTATATAAAGAGCGCAGGTAGCTATAAGTAGTGCAACAGGCCTTTAAAGGTCTTTGCCATGAAACGTGTGACATCTTAATCGCAATCTACCTCTTGAGGTTTCGTACATGAGTTCATAGCAAAGCTCGTAAGTTTTTAAAGGCCTCATCGTTATAGTTTCTTTGCTTGTTTTGTTTCTGAAATATCAATTATAGTTTGTTCTTACCTGTCTCATGCATGAAGTAAAACTTGAAGATCATTGTCCCGCAGCTGGCATTGCCTTTGCAATCTGACTCGGTAGGCTTATTACATGAGCTTACAGCCATAGTTGATATGTTCAAAGCCTCATTGTTGGTTGAATATACCGATTGACAATGGTTACAGGTTAGAGCCTCCCCTGCATTTAGAAAAAGGAACAAAGTAAGTTTGTTTTTCCCCTGGATGTTACTTTATCTCTTTAAACCGCTGACAATTGATTACAGGGACCTTTCGTTTCCTTTAGGTATTAATGGGTTAACAAATCCTTTTTTTTTTAAATAAAAAAAGAAAATATATATTTATAATCGTTGACCAAAATATGCTTGAACCTCATGTCTGAAAAGTACATCGGGCCAGTTTCATGCACTGCCTTCCATGTTCATGAAATAATTGTTGATTCATGTCTTTGTTTTAAAAGAAGCCAGTGTAGTACAATCAGTGTAGGAATTATTACGTTGTAGAACTTTCTGCCACTTTAAAGTGCACGTGCTGGCTGTAGCATTCTGAGCATAATGTTATATTTCATATTGTACTGTATTATATATTATATTATATCATATTATATAATGTTATTCCACGAATGCTTAAGCGCCCTATTATTGGAGCTCAGCTACGGTCGTGGTATTAATGTGATACCTTTTATTAAGTGCAGTAGAGTATACATACATATATATATATATATATATATATATATATATAGTAGCTGCACTATATTAATTTACCTATTGTAATTACTATTGTTAATACTGTATATCATATTTTTTTTCCATTTTATATTGCATTGTAGATTATATCATATGAAATTATGTATTATATGGCAATATATATTATACTATATTAGTCTAATTTGTTCACATCATACTGCATTAAATACAGGGATAAGGTAATTCCCCTGTCTAACTGAGACGACATCAAAGCATGATCAGTAAATACTTCCCAGCGTATTTGTGTATATAAGTACCAGCAAATAGTCAATTGTTAATAGTTAATTATAACGACTGTACTTTTGAAGGCCATTGTGACCGGAGAAAAAATCAACTGCAAGCTGGGGAAATCATACTGCACAGCAGGGGCGGCGATCCCAGTGAGACGATGGAGACGTCCCCCCACCCCTCATTTGTTTTTGTTTGGATATTCCGGATAAGATGATGAACTGTTCAAGCCACGAAAGTATTACAGTCTTGTTTCCACAGTTGTGTTCGCAATGCTTATTGATTGTCCACTGTAATGTATTCTTCATTTGCTTTATTATTACTGCTGACGACAGTACGTTGATGAGAAATTACCCATATTTGAGAACAAAATTTGCTAAATAAAAGGCTTCCCACATGTTACATCATTACTTCTCTATATTACATATCTATCATTGTTTTATTATGCATTCCGAAGTAAAATATCATGTATGAGACAATCTTCTTATGTGGCATGTGGAACAATAATAATAATAATAATAAAGATAGATTTATTGAGCGCATAATAAACCGAGGTTTCTCTATGCGCTTTACAAAGTAAAGTACATGCAAGTACAGGTATAGTTAAATAGTTGCAAATTAAGAGCGAAATATAAAGCAAAAACTTTCATTCAAAAACACCCCCCCCCCCAAAAAAAAAAAAAAAAAAAAAAAAAAAATGAAACATATTATTCGTTTAACATTTTCCCAACATAGTTGTTTTTGCAAACACCCCCAGATATCAGCACTTTTGCGCGAAATTCTTAACAACCATGCGTACACACAAAAACACCTGCTTTGAGACCACCTGGAAAAAAGAAGAAGAGAGTTGAATGTTCGGGGATACCCGCAGCTATCAAGTCTCCCACAAGTCAAGCAGTCGATATATTAATTTCCTCTTCAATAATATAGAGTACACTTACATCTATCATACGTCTCGTTCAGATGCTCAGCGGTAAACTGCAGCACGTTTTATTTGTTTCATTTCTATGGCAAAAAGCTAATTGGCTTCTTACTTCTGTAACTTAAAATAAAGAGCTGAATGAATACGACTTGGACTCTTTTTCTTCTTTTTGCGACGATTTACCGTGTCATTTCTGAACGGGCAATAAATCTTCAGGATTATAGCGAATCATGTAATAGATTGATTCATTTAGAGTGTAAATACATGCTGAATTCTAAACAAATAAACAAAAAATGGAATCCTAGTTCAAACGAATTCTGAAACCAGTGGATTACGGAATAATTTTTAACTGATTATTAAAGATAAAGTTGAGTTCTGGTCATGTGATTGCATTGTGAAAGAAACGGTGTGGAGACTGTCAGAAAAAGTTGATCATCTAGTATATAAGTATTCGTGTATATTGCAAGGTTCTGGAATCATCAAAATGATAAGAAATTTGGCAAAATCTTGGCAAAGTTACCAGCATTGTACACTGAATGATGTATATGGGACTACACGAACACATGGCGAAAAATTCCTACCCGGATTTTTACGATGTTTCATGTCATATTTAGAATATGAAGGCATTTGAAGAGCCATGCTTTTCAGGGAACATGTTTAATCTGATGTTCTTCCACCCTTGCATAATAACAATGATAACGCTCACAAATTATTTGTTACCTCTTTCCAGAACTCAACCTTCTCTTTAACATCCAAAAGAAGTAATTACAATTATGATTTCATTTCCATTTTTGTGGATTTTCTACATGATCTGTATCACAGGCAGTTTTGGAAACGCCCTCCTCTCCAAAAATGAAGGGGGGGGGGGGGTAAGAGAACATCGATAATTCGTTCCGTTGGGGGGGGGGGGGGTAAGGTCACCTTTTTTGGGTCACCCATAAGCACTATTTTTTTTTTTTTTTTTTTTAATTGAGGGTTTTTTCCCCTCCAAAACACAAACACAAACAAAAAATTGGGGGGGGGGGTTCGACCCCCCCCCCCTGCGTACGCGCCTCATCAGGATGATGAACGCGCTAGCGTTGGGTAGGTCAACATTTAGGATAAAGCTAACTTCTGGTCATGCGATTGCATTGTGAAAGAAAAGGTTTGGAATGGATCGGAAAAAGTTGATCATGTAGCATGTAAGTATTGATGTGTACTGCAAGGTTCTGAAGTCATACAAATCATAATAAAGTCGGCCCAATCTTGGTAAAGTAACAAGCACTGTACACAGAAAGATGTATATCGGACTACTTACCTTGATTACTTTATCTTTCTATGCTCATTACTACGCCAGTATACATTTTTTTACCAATATTGTTTGGCAAATGACATTTATTTTTAATCTTGAACATTCAGTGTAAGTCTCGTATGTTTCTTTGATAATTTTTTAATATTTTTTACCAGAACTTAAGTTTATCTTTAATCAGGTGTTACAATTTTATTCCCAATCTGACTTGAAGTTAATTTTCCCTGGTCGCTTAAAACAGTTTACAATTTCGAATACAATTGCTATAAATCAATGCATGAAGGCAGGCAGTTTTGTACATGAAATTATTAAAGGAAAACGTCAAAATAAAGCTAATTTGTAGGCAGTCAAACAAGCAACAGATATTGTATGTGAATCATTTGCTGTTCAAATATATCTTACGTAATGCATACCGAATATAAAACTGCAGCAAAGTAGCCCAACGACGATAAGTAACTTCATCTTAATTTCTGTCATGGGAGAAGGAAATAAGAGAAATTATGATTATTAATAGGTTTGGAAAAGGAGGTAATTATTCTTTATTGGAATTAAAGCGGGCAGTAAATGAAAAATTGACACTTGTATTTTTCTTCTAAAAAACGCTCTGAACACAATTTGATAAATAAATCCAATACAGTATGAATATATAATGACAATTTATTTGTCTTCCATATAGGTAAGTTGAACTTTGCATATTTTAAAAACTATTTAAGGTCTATCAAAAACCAAATAAATCAATATGAAACAAAACAAATATAAATAGAAGAACTATACAAAATAACAACCTAAATGCAAATGACCTATAAACTGGACTGAAGGTGCAGTTATATCGGAGTTCTAAAGTTCCCTCTTCTTTGAACACTCTACGTAAAAAATTCCCGTTATTAAATAAAAGGTAACATTTACTTCATTTTTTCGGTTATGTTAATCTGTTGAATATGTATGGGAGACATTAGATTGAACCTATGGTGTAAACGAGAAAAACAAATACAATCAAAGAAACTTGCATTGGTGCTTACTTTTCGACCTAGACTTAATAAGAGGAATTTAAAACGACTTAGGTTAACAAAAAACAACGTATTAATGAATGATTCGATTTTATAAAATAAGATACCTAATATTGGGTATTTTCAAAGTGAAGGAAGTTATTCGAAAAGAAGTGGTTGAAATGCAACCCAACATGTCACTTACATTTTGTCTGTAAACACCGATTAAAAAGTAAACAGTTCACTAGCTCATCAACTGTTCCGATGCTCCTGATTATCTGTACACAACTAAACGGTTTACATGAATGATCACCCGCTTAAAAAATTTAAAAAACATCTTTACTGTTGATATGGGGCCAGGGGGTACATGTGGGCGGATCCAGATTTTTTTTTATATGAGGGTTAATAAACTTTCATTTGCAAGGAGCAGGCATGAAGTGGGCGTTGCCAAAAAACCCATTTACGGCCCCACTTGGATAGGATTACGTGGTAGGTATATTATATGTACTAGTATGAACTTATTTGAATCTGGAATTGGAAAAATTAATCAATTGGTCAACAAAAATATCCCTTGAGATACACTAAGCTGGCAAACTAGTTTACTTATCAGTTATACCCGAACATGGGTCTAAAACCGCGTTATAAAACAGTCTTCAGACTATATTATTTGTTAAATCCTGTTTTTCAACAATGCTTAACCAAACGCGGAAAAGACAATCATTCCCTAATAGTGGGGGCTGGTAGTATACTAAGGGTTGTTTGGTGCATATTCTTCTAAAAGCACCAAATTTGGCCCAGAGGTAGATTATACCATACCCTATGATTTCTGCCGGACGCCAAGAAGGGCACCCTCTGGGTATGCCATACTGGGCAAATCCAAAATGGCCGCCATCTGAGTAAAAGGTCAAGCGTAGTTTCAAAAGAAAAAGCGCTTGTATGATAATAGTTTATATACTTATGGGGTTTCGGGGGTCAGAGAATCAGATTGTGATGTTCTTTCATCTATTTGAAGTCTCCTTGGGGCTGCCATACTTGTCATATTGGTCAAATCCAAAATGGCCGCCATCTGATAATTACAGGTCAAGTGTAGTTACGAAAGGAAATGGGCTAGTATGATAAAAGTTTTTATATTTTTGGGGTTTTCGGGGTCAGAGAATCTGATAATGATGTTTTTCATCGATTTGAGATCTCCTCGGGTCATACTGGTAATATTGGGCAAATCCAAAATAGCCGCAATCTGAGTTACAGGTCAAGTGTAGATACGAAAGGAAATGGGCCAGTATGATAACAGTTTATATATGTATGGGGTTTTCGGGGTCAGAGAAACTGATCATGATGTTCTTTCGTCGATTTGAGGTATTCTTGAGGCTGCCAAACTGATCATATTGGTCAAATCCAAAATGGCCGCCATCTAATAGTTACAGGTCAATAGGAGTCCCAAAAGGAAACTGAGAGCTCAAATGATAACAGTTTATGTATTTATGGAGTTTTAGGGGTCACAGAATCTGGATATCATGTTCTTTTACCAATTTGAGGTCTACTTGGGGCTGTCATGCTGGTCATATTGGTCAAATCTAATTGGCTGCCACTTTTGAGTAAAAGGTCAAGAGGAGTTCCAAAAGGAAAAGGGCTAGTATGATAAAAAATGTATATAGTAAGGGGGTTTTCGGGGTCAGAGAATCTGATTATGATGTTGCTTGTACCAATTACAGGTCTCCTTGGATATGTCATGCTGGCCATATGGCCAAATAAAAAATTGCCGCCATCCGAGTAAAAGGTCAAGAGTAGTTCCAAAAGGAAAAAGACCAATATGATAAAAGTTGATATTAAAATTCATGGGGTTTCCGGGGTCGGATAATCTGATTATGATGTTCTTTTTTCAATTTTATGTCACCATCCTGTCCTAAGGCTACAATGAGTCCTTTTCCTGGTTGAAGAAGATGAGGAAAGATGCGCCAAATTCACACTTGAGTGGGTATAAATCTTGACCTGCGCCCATATGTTTTATCAATATGCAAACTTTCCTCTGTGAAATGCATAATAAATTCGTTTTCGAGGGTTGGCAATAAAAATAGATAAACAGTAGAAACAGACCATGAATAAAGAAATAAACAGCTTGTTCGATTTGTTTTGAAGCATTATTTCTAAAAAGCCGGACAGCTTAAACTGTATTATCCTTAAAAACAACCTCTCTTACATTGTTATGTAACTAGTCAAGTTTGGCCCTATTTAAAACTCAATGATCTATTACATTAAATTAATCATGAAAAATAATCATTGAATAACAAAGAAGTATTTTGATATTTGCACTAACCTAGACTATTTTGATTGAATTTTGAAACTTTGAAACGCTACTATTACGACTACTCATGTTTAGGAGCGCTGAAAACAAGAGTACCATAGAAACTTAAAATGTCTACGTTATCAATTAACATACCATTACAATCAATTTCGGCGATTGCACTCTCTTTTTAAGATATTGGCACACAAAATGCTGGACTTAGCTCATGCTGCAATCATAATTATAAACCTTTAGTTCAGTCAGGAATCACATGACGTGTACAAAAGTGTTCGACAGGGCCCCCCCCCCCCCCCCCCCCCCCCACTGGCAATAATAATAATAATAATAATGATAATAAATAAATATTTTAAAGAAAAAAACTGCTTATTCACCGGCTGGCTGAGTCGCCGCTAAATATTTTCTCACGAATTAGGCCCCCCCCCCCCCCTCTTGCCGCCGTCTGGATCCGCCAAATTGTCAATATTTGTTTGCATTTTAGCCCGGTTCCCAACATAAAAAAAATCTGTGTGCCCATGCCTTGAGCAAAAATGCATGGCCGTCCAGAGGATTTGTTAATGTTTGGGACCGGGCTAAAAATTTCCTTTGTGTTTTTTAAATTTATGGAAACTGCCCCCTGCCCTAGCTCCCGCTGCGTACACTCATGGTTCAGTGACAAAGCAATGGCCTCGTAATTGTGAGGCCCCAGGATCAAAACCGTGTCGATGTGCTATATTAGTGCCCTTTTGTTGGGCATTAATCCTCATTACTGTCATTTAAGGGCGTAGGTCCCCTAATTGATAGGCATAGTAGCATACACTTGCTTTAGCAGTCACGCAAAACACACATTGGCAAATTATTATTCAATACAATCTGAGAATGTACCCTATTATCTAGATCTATTATTTTTAAAATCTTTTAAAAATAATTCCATATATTGGGGTAAAACAAAAATATTCCAACTATATGAGCGACAGTGTATATATATATATATATATATATCTCTCTTTATCTCTCTCTCTCTCTCTCTCTCTCCCAACGTATATATATATGTTTATCTACCTACCTATCTATCTATCCAGCTATACCATGTATCTATCTATTAATCCTTTTTTCTCTCCCTCTTGCAGTAACATTTTATATTTTGTTTCATACTTTTTCTTTCTCTGTCTAGTGTATGTTTATTCTTTATTCTGCATCATTATGCTACTAATTTAATTGAGTGAACTTACACTCAATTCGCCCTCCTTTTTATGTTAAATCATTTATTTGCGTTTTGTTGTGGCAAAATTTACTATGCTTTGTTAAATGTGCTTATATTCAAATGCATGATGCGCGAAATGAGAGAAAAACTGCTAATAAATTTTCCATAAATTAACATTTAATATATACCTTTTATGAGTTAGCATAAAAACATGGATCAGCAATATAACACTTTAGAGAGATGAAAGGAGCAAAATGCAATAATATTGTCGGTACATAATAATGTCTGAATATTTGTTCTCCATGAAAGAATTTGCAATATTTTTTCTGCTTGAACATTAAAATATTCAGCAGATATTAAATGTATAACGAAGAAACGATGATAGCCAAATACGATAAAATTGTCTATTCAAACAAACTAATGTTATGTTAATCCAATACATAGACATTTAAAAACCATATGGCTATGCATAAGCCAATATAAAGATGAGAACAACAACATGAAACAATCAGTTACATTGTATGACGAAGAAGAACAATTGCTGACTACGCAGCCGGTGTTACAGGCTTCGAGATAATTTATATTAATACACATTGATGGAAACCACCAAACATTCATCGCACCAAGAAACACCTCGTGGGCCCAGTTACAAGGGGGCGTCAGTAACTGGAGCAGGGCGGCAGCTACCCCCCCCCCCCCCCCCCACAAAAAACACACACACGAACGCAGACATACCCGAACAACCCCAGCACCACACCACAACCACAAATACTACCATACAATCCGTTTAGTATGAATCTCCGCTCCTGATTTTATATCTGGAAATTATAATACAGGGGTTTAATCGATACTTCATGTTAAATAAATAGTTAGCAGGGATAAATACATCATGCTGGATAGAAATTCAATTTAAATTCTACTCAATTATTGCTAATTGCATTCAAATTCACATTTGAGAACATTAGTTGTGACACATGCATCTCTATGCGTGCACTAGCGTATTCATAGGTCAGATTATGGCGCCAAGAAATGGACCCTGTTTCATAAAACTTGATATCAATATCATTAACAAGCTACTGTTATAAGCTACTGAGATCAAGACATCTGATTGGCTGAGAGCAAATTTGTCATAGAAATGTTGCATTTTTTATAGATAAAAAAAATTATGAAACGGGTCCCTGTTCCCCTTCCAAGTTTGGCCAAACTCTGTATTAAATGGGCTTGTATTATCTGCATGGTTGGGAATCTCAACACATTCTTACTGCTTGAAAATAAACATTGAGATAACGACATTTAGGATCGAGGCAACAGCAAAGGCGTAACTTGCGCCAAGCCCTGCAGCCGAGGACACCAGATCACAGTCGCGCGGTGTAGTATTGTCTGCGAGAGGGGAAGGCGGCATGCAGTTTTCGGCGCCGTCACAGACGCAGAGGGTAACGCCAGAGATGCTCTCGAAAGTCAAGTCATCTCCATCTGACATCACGGCCAGCGAATCAGCCGCTTTCAAGTACTCTTCCGCACTTGCTTTGTCGAGGCATGCATCTCCCTGGGGGATCAAGGAAGCTCCTTCTAGGGATGCACATCCACGTTGCTCCTTTGTCAGCATCACATTAGGCCCTACATTTGAAATCAGATTAGATATGACGATATATAATTATAATAACGACAACTTATAGTAATTGTAAAAATTAAGTTAACTTTTATTTCGCAGGTAAGAATAAAAACAGTGAAAATAGTTTACAGATGGCAACTTCTCTAAAAGGCAAAATATTGCTTATCGACGTGCTAATCTGAATGACATTTATTGATATACTGATTTGTTCAATTATACGCAATTAAAATGAGACATGGTTCCTGAGGCATCATGTACCTAACATAAAGCTGCAACACCGAATTATTTTGTTGCTATGTAAGGGTATAGGGAGTGGCTAATCCAGGGGGTAGGGCGGTCCCCCTCCCCTGTGAAAAACAGGTAAAAACGCGTATTCACTGGCTGGCTGTTACGCCGCTAAATATTTTCTCACGAATTGGGCCCCCTCTTTGGCCCCCTCCCCTGCCGCCGGCTGGATCCACCCCTGGGCACTGGCACCTTTAACTACTAGCGTCTTGGTGATGCCTTTACAAGCCTGATCAACGCTGTCAATGCCGCAATGACGCCTCATATATTAAATAGCCTACGCTAATCAGGAACTTGTTATCATTGACAAGTTACAATACATGTTATAAGCTATTGCAACCCTTGTATTCGATTGGTTGAAAGTAAATTTGTTAAATAACTTTGGCATTTGTTATTGATATGATGTTTTTATGGCAGTATACAGAAGCAGGGCCGAAGAATGTAAACCCAAATGATGTTCGTGACATTAGTTTAATACTATAATACCACTTTTTATTTTTTAGCATTCGTTATACGATGTCATTCCCACATGTTGCGCCAATGACTGCGCCAGTTGTTGCGCCAATAACTGCGCCAGTTGTTGACGTAACCCTGCGTCAACAATGACACCTCGTAAGCAGCGCACGTCGATGGTGACGCTCACCTGAGTCACGGCTATAGGAGGCGTTGACTTCCACTGAGATACAGCTTGATACGCCAGCGGGACACGTCACACTGGTCGGGTTATCTGAACAGGAGGGAATTCCCTTGTCGGCAGCGATGGCAACATCACTCTCCGAAGTAATATCCATGCAGGTGACACACGTTATAGCACTGCCTGGTTCTGTTAAACGACAAAATGAAGTTAAAGATAAACTCCAGTTCTGGTAATGCGATTGCATTGTGAAAGAAAAGGTGTGGAATGGATCAAAAACAGTTGATCATGTAGCATGTAAGTATTGGTGTGCACTGCAAGGTTCTGGAGTCATCAAAATCATAATAAATTTGGCCGAGTCTTGGTAAAGTAACAAGCACTGTACACAGAAAGCAATATATGGGACAACACACATGGTGTCGGGGCTAGTACTACCTTGATTTCCTTGTCTTTCTATGCTCATTACTCAGCCAGTATACATTTTCTTCCAAAATTGTTTGGCACATGTCATTTATTTGTAATCTTGAACATTCAGTGTAAGTTTCGTTTGATTCTGTGAGAATTAATTTTTTTTAAAAACCAGAACTGGAGTTTATCTTTAAGTAGCAGGTTAGCATAAATTATTTTTAGATTGATCGTATTACAGCGTGACTATGAGTAACGATCGCAACGCCAAAGCTGTACCGGTGTGTACGATACACAAGCTTATGAGGAAAACAAAATTATCTGTGCACGAAATATGGAGAGAATCTCGAGTAACAGTAGGTTTTTTTCCATCGCCCTAATCCAGCGTTGCCAATTTCAAAATTGATTTCCTTTCTTATTATTTCTGAGAATTGTGAAAAAAGTATAATAGAAGTTGGACGGATGTTTTGGGCTGTTCCTTAGATAATACGCCATTTGTATTATTATAATCATTATTATTTTAATGATTATTATCATTATTCCTATTATTATTTGTAATATTAGGAGTAGTAGTAGTAGTACTACTACTACTACTACCAGTAGTAGAAGTAGAAATATAAGTAGCAGTAGTAGTAGTATGTATTTATTTCTTCTCCTTTTTTATTCTTCATCGTTCTTCTTCCTTTTCTGCTACATCTTTCTTCTTTCTTCTTCTTTCTTATTTGCCTTCTTTTTCTCATTTCAAAAATGGAGTACGAACATGCAAACATTTTCCAAATTAACAGCAACAACATTCAAGGAGCGCCGAAATTCTCTCGGATAGAGTTTGGTCTAGAGAGGAGCTTCTCTGAGCCCCCCCCCCCCCCCCACTCAATGTTATATAGGGTACGCATATGCTCGTTCCCTCTTTTTGAAAGCACCCCCTATCTGAGGACTGCCAATATTTCCGAACCCCCCTTTCGCGGGCATTTCGCAGGCTTTTCCTGCCTTGGAGACCCTCCTAAATCAGGAAAAATGCTCAATGTACCCCCCTAAATTCGGAATAATTTCTCAGGAGTTCAAAGACATGAGAGAAAAAGAAAAAAAAACACCCTCTTTTTAAAGAAATCTCCGGGTGAAAAGTCAAATACACCCTTTTTTTTTTTTACAATTCTCGGGCCGGACTTTGTCGCACGAAAAGTACCCCTTTACCGGACAATTTGGCAACACGCATGCGGTCATTCCGACCTCTGAGTGGGGGGGGGGGCGGGCTCTGAGCTCCATGAATATTGACCCTAGGGCGCGAATGTGCGCGCGTGTCACAACTTTCACTCTCAATACGCCATGGTGCAGCGACTATTTACCTGGGGAAGGCTCAGACATCGGAACAACCGGTGAGGGCGGGGTCGGAGCGACTGGTAAGGGCGGGGTACACAGGTCCTCGCTGTCACACACACAAAAGCTTAAGCTGGAATTCAGGTACATCGCACGAAGAACGGGCGGAAGCACTGATTCTGGGTCTGGCAAATCTGCTTTGATAATTTCGACTGACGCATCGTCTAGGCATACGTCTCCACTCGGGATCAACTGGCTATACTGCCCGGTGTTGCATCCTCGTTCAAAGTCCGTCATGACGATGAGTCCTTCTGCAAGCCGATACATTAGACCATGTTATATTGAGGACGATGATGATTATAACTATAATCAGCATAATGATAATAATGATAATGATCGTGATCAAAATAAACATCATTAGGTTTATATCGTCTGCCCAAAAACCCAAAATATGTGTGTGTCTTAAATCTTGATTTGAGGGATCTTTGAGATGCTCTTTCAAGGTCATTCCGTGAACTTACAAGCAGTCGCGTATTACGTTTAACCCTAAGTAGAAATTCCTACTCCTAGTCAAACAACCTTTTACAGCCACACTGTATTACTTGTAGCTACTTGCGCCCTTTATATAAAAAACAATGCATAATCGGTGACCATTGGTCCCCTATTATCCTCTTTTTCTTATGTTAATTGAGAGCTTAGTTGATGAGATAGCCACCTGTTAGTGACCACCCTGGGTGGTCTAATCCCTCCTGACCAAACTAGTGCAGGCGGTCTTTAACCTCTGCATTCGATGCCATTGGTGAACGTTGTATTTTTAGTGGTGAAGTCAGTGAAGGTGTCATTGAAGTATTTATTAAGTGTTCTTAACTAACTTCATGCACCTTGTGACATCTTAATCGCAATCTACCTCTCGAGGCTTCGTACATGAGTTCATAGCAAAGCTCGTCCATTTTCTAAAGACCTCATCGTTATAGTTTCTTTGCTTGTTTGGTTTCTGAAATATCTATTTTAGTTTGTTCTTACCTGTCTTATGCATGAAGTTAAACTTGTAGATCATTGTCCCGCAGCTGGCATTTCCTTTGCAATCTGTCTGTGTAGGCTTCGTACATGAGTTTTTAGCGATACTTGATATGTTCAAAACCTCATCATTAGTTGAATATATCGCTACGCACTGGTCGCAGGTTAGGGCCTCCCCTGCATTCAGAAAAAGAACGAATTAAAATTCTTCTCCTTGATGTTACTCTATCTCTTTTACCCGTGATTAAATACAGAGACCTTTCGTTCCCTTTAGGTATTAATGGGTTAACAAATATTTATTTTAAATAAAATTACAAAATTTATATATTTTATCGTTGACCGAAATCTGCCTGAATCTCATGTCTAAAAGTACATCGGTCCAGATCCATGCACTACCTTCCCTGTTGACGACATAATTTGGGATTCATTTCTTTGTTTTACAAGAAGCCAGTGTAGTACATTAAGTGTAGGAATTATTAAATTGTAGCACTTTCTGCCACTTGAAAGAACACGTGCTGGTTGCAGCATTCTGAGCATAATGTTATATTTCATTTTCTATTGTATTCTATATTATATCGTATTATATCATATTTTTTCTTGAATGCTTGCGCCTTATTAACCCTAATAACCCTCCACGATATGTCTGATTGTTCAGGAACGCATATGGATGGCGCCCTGCCGATCGCTGACCTTTTTTCTTTCGAGTCCTGCGAATCTTTAACCAAAACAAATTGAAGATCGGACCTACAGTTACAAGGTCACGTGACCTTTTGTCTTTGCATGTCAGCCCCAAAATAGCTCATTTTTTTATTTGTGTAGAAAGCATAAGGAAATGCCATTTTTCTTAAAGAAAGATCAAACATTGGTTACTGGGTCTTGTTTAAAGTTTAGGTGGTTGTTTTGAGGTCAAAATAGTTGAATTGTAGTTAGAAAAGAAATAAAACAACAAAAACAACAAAAATTATAAGAAATTATCAAAACAAGAGATAACATAAGGAATAGGCTGGCTCTTCCAAATTGTTTTGTCGCATTATTATTCCAAATGGTCTTATGAATATATGTAGTGAAAAAGAATACTTAAATATGAAAAATATATGATTTATGGGTAAAATTGTGATTGTATGACCTCATTTGCATAAATTACCATAAATATGCAAATGAGTAATTTTTTTCAAAAAATTGAAATTATCATATTATGCTTTACACTTCACTTGACATGCGTGCACACTTTCGCGGAGATCGGCCGTTTCACGGCCAAGATCTTAAGGGGGGCATAATGCCCCCTCCCCGGCCGTACTAAGACCTCAAATAGCCCGGCCTTTTTAGGGTCAATGGAGCTAAGCTACGACCGTGATAATAAAGTGATACACATACAGTAGGATTGCGAGTGCACTATGTGAGAGAGAGAGAGAGAGAGAATTGAGCATTCCTGAAAAAGGATTCTCGGTTATCTTTCTTGAGGGTGTGTGTAGTTCTGAAAAGGACTGTTTGTGTAGTCTTGAAACAGACTGTTGGTTATCTTTCTTAGCTTATAGTTCTAAGGAGAACTATAGTGCTTATAGCGCTCCCGCCACTCATCCTTTCCAAGCTCTATAGTTCTCCTTAGATCTATGAGCTAAGAAAGATAACCAACAGTCTTTTGCAAGGCATAACATCAAAATATATCTATAGTACATTGTTAAAAATGAGAACGGAAAAATCTTATGCTACATGCAACTTAGAACGTACATACAATATGGTCGAAAATGAGACGAGAACAATTTTCTTAAGACCCCGAAAATCCACTTTGGACAGAAAGCTTATGGAATTTCAATATAAAATGTTATATAACTTAATGAGCAATCTTTGCTCCTTTTGCAATAAACACGAAGAAACCTATGAGCATCTGTTTTTACCTGTGAACAGGTAGCAAATATTTGGAAGGACTGAGGTGACCTTTTTGCTTTATCAGCATTAACAAATCTACACTGGCAAGAAATTCATATAGGAATAAAAAGATCCAATGTGGGAGGAGAACAACTGTTAAATCACATTATTCTTTTAACAAAACATATGATTTTTAAATATAGTTCAACTATAAATAGACCCCCAATTCCTCAAGAAAAAAAAAAAATAGAAAATAGGCAAGAAGAAAAGGAATTAGCGGGGGAGAAAGGCACTTAATTGGTCTTAAGGAAAAGGAAGAGACGGGATTTCCAACAAATGTGTAGATGTGAATGGCCGGGAAGGGAGGAGGGGGGGGGGTGGTTGTTGAGCTTTGGAATGGGGGGGGGGGGGAGGGATATGTAAGTTTGTATGTGTGTCTGAGTATGTGAGCGTGTGTGGTATGTCTGTCTGTCTGTAGGTAACTCTTTGATTTATAATATTTGTTCAGTATTATTGATTTGTAAACATTATGTACTGTGTATTTTTTGAGAGATGTACAATTTTCTTTATATTTTGATATGTTATGTAAATCAATGAAGCTGTATGTTTGTTTGTTATATATTTTGTACTGAATGAATACAATAAAACAAAGCTACAAAACAAACAAAAAATGACCATAGGATAATAACCTGTAGTTATCCAAATTTCGCGTTAGGCTAAATAAATGCATGGCCACGTGTACGCTTTCAACCAATCATTTGATTAGGACGTACGTCATCGTTTTATAATCGGTTTTAACGACTGTACTTTTGAAGGTCATTGTGACCGGGGGAAAATTCAACTGCGAGCGGGTGAAAAATTCAACTACGAGCTGGGGAAATCATACTGCATAGCAGGGGCAGCGATCCCGGTAAGACGATTAGGACGTCCCCCTCTCCTCAATTTTGTTAGGAGGCCCCCACTCCCCCCCCCCCCGGAAAATTTGAAAAAGGGCACACACAAAAAGGTATAGCAAATACTGAGTAAAGACTGCAACGCACTTTAAAGCTCTGAAAGGTCCAAGAGTGCAGCGTTTAGACTAATAATAATACACACATCTTCTCGCTCGGTCGCTATTCTCCGTGGCATAATATCCTTCAAAATGTAGCAGTAAATATTGAAGGAAATCTGTATTCCGTAGGTATCACATAACAACAGTTTTCACTGATTTGTAACATGGCACTTAGCAAAGATGTCTCCATTAGATTTGATTACATTACGAGAATGGCCTATTTCCACGAATGACCATTAATACAAATACATAAAATACATCATATACCTCACTTAAGTGATCCAGCAATCTGATTGGTCGAAATTGCATTCATAAACTTTAACTGTTCCCGAAAATTCCCAGTAACCATGGTTAAAACAGTTCTAAAATCCCAATAACCATGGTTACCGGGAAGCGACTTTGCGTTTTACACCCTGGCCTGGACATTTTCCCGGTAAATAGCAATAAAACTGCTTGAATGAGTCTAGTCTACGCTCCTCGATCGGGCGCGCCAGTTCCAAATCGAATCGTACATGCACAGACGTACGTCGATGCAGCATTTATACACACCGTACGCAGCTGCAATACTGAAGATTAAGGGAGAAGATATAGGATTTCAAGTTCAGAACAACAAGTTAAGAAGCTTATTTCTACTATTGTTTGCTTTCACTTTTACTACATATTTCTTCTTTATATAACTATTTATGCATACACATACTCCTGTATCTTTTGTATTACTTCTCTGACATTGAAGGATTAGATTACCTTCACGAAAAAAAAGTATATGAATGTAAAGCAGTAAATAAAGTGCAAATGAATTCATGTAAAACTGGTGTATAATTTCCTTTATATGTTATGTGTCTGTACATTACACTAGACAAAGTGATGAATGGAAAAAGAGAGAAAGAGAGGTCTTATAAACAAATATCATGAATTTAAAATGAGAAAGAGAGAAAGGGAGAGAGAGACAGAGGTCTTAGAAACAAATATGAATTCAAGAAGTGAGAAAGAGAGGGGGTCTTAGAAACAAATATCATGAATTGAGAGCTAGAGAGAGAGAGAGGTCTTAGAAACAAATATCAAGAAATGAGAAAGAGAGGGGGGGGGGGTCTTAGAAACAAATATGAAGAGAGAGAGAGAGGCCTTAGAAACAAATATGAAGAGGGGGTTAATGAGAGAGAAAGAAAGAGGGGTCTGAGAAATACATACGAGAGAGAGAGTGGGTCGAGAGAGAGAGGTCTTAGAAAACAAATATGAATAGAGATGGGGGGGGGGGGGGGCGGGGGAGAAATGGGTCTTAGAAAACAAATATGAAGAGAGATGAGGGGGGGGGGGGAGGTCTTAGAAAACAAATATAAAGGGAGAGGGGTCAAGAGAATTAGAGAAATTAGGTCTTAGAAACAAATGACATGAATTTAAAAAATGAAAGACGTGATCCCACAATAATAGAAAATGGTACGAGTGCAATATTTAAATCACAGTTTATGTATTACATTACCATTACACATATTATGTCGAGTGTAGTCTGTGTATGTGTCGATATGTGTACACGTGTGTTAGGGGGGGGGGGGGGGTCCGAATCAGCAAATGGTTTGAAAGTAGGCTACACGTCAAAAATTGAAACCCTGAAGAAGGCGGAATTAAACCACAAAAACCATAATATTATTTGGTTTCTCTCTTTCCTTACTTTGATTAATTCCTTCTCTAATTTCTCTCTTTCTTTCAAGTTAGTTTTTGTTTTCTCTCTCTGCTTATGACATTCTTTGTTTCCTCTCTGTTCTTTAATTATTTATTGTTTTTCTCTATTTCCTTCTGTTGTTATTCGTTGTTTTTCTCTCACTCGTACGTCTCGATACAAAAGTACATGTACCGCGTACCGCGACACTGGACATATAGGACGTACGTTGAGCATTGCAGAAGAGCTACGTGCGCGCGCAATATCTTGTCATGGATAGACTTTTCCCAGTCGGTTCCTTGAAATTTATTGGGAAAAGGTCCAGGCCAGGGTGTAAAACGCAAAGTCGCTACCGGGAAAATAGTTCAGTCTCCATGGTTACCCCATAGGTTTACATGTTAAAAAATGGTCTGAGCGATCGAGGATACCGTACGTGTGCGAAGAATTGGTCGGTAATTGCAATACAATTGAATCTCGATCGATCTTACCGACAATTTTATCTTGCATTGTTGACATGAAGACGAAAATAAACTTCCAAAAACAAAAAAAACAACATCTGCCGATAGATCTTGATCTAAGTTCGTGCCAATATGCATTGCAAAAGTAAAAGAAGGGCCCGTTTAATGGAGCAGCGGCGAAGCATCTACCACGCGGAGCCGTTTTCAATCCATTTTAATGTATATATTAGAGAAAACTGCAACAAATGCAGAGCGCGCTGGCCGAGCGGTTTAAGGCGCTGATTTTAGTTTCATCACCTTTTGTACGCAAGAGATCGAATCTCATCTTCGACAAAACTTTTTTTATTTTGTATTTTTTATTTTTTAGTCTATTTTTTTTCGGCATATAAAAGTAATAATGACTGCTTTAATATTCGAGAAATAGTTGTTTTTATACGCTCTCGGGAAGGTTACAATTGGGCTATTGCCATCGGCACGCCTCGGGTAATAGCACAATTCTAACCTTCCCTTGAGCGTATAAAAACAACTATTTCTCTCAAAGCAGTCATTAATTCTATAATGTTAACCAAGAAATGTTTTCAGCAACTAGGCAGAATCGGATATTTTGGATAACATGATGAACTGTTTTAAGTCACGAGTCTTACAATTTTATTTCCACAGTCGTGTTCGCAACGCTCATTGATTGTCCACTGTAATTTATTCTTCATCTGCTTATTTTTTTTCTGTTGACGACAGTAAGTTGATAAGAAATTACCCATATTTGAGAACAAATTTTGTTTAATAAAAGGCTTCTCATAAGTTACATCATCATTATTTCTCTATGTTACATGTATGTCATTGTTGTATTATGCATTCCCTTGTTAAATCTTATTAGACAATCTTGATATATGGAAACCAAGTTTTTTCACCCAGAATTCAAACATTTTTAGACAGGTATGATAAGGACTCTAAATATAACTTTGAACTAGGATCATAGGGTACATATTCATTAAAAGCACACAAACAAAACAGAGCAAACAAACAAATGATTCGTTATTACACAATTTCCCAACATAGTGAGAAATAATCGCTTTCCGACAATCTTCCCCAACATCCCTAGAATGTACCCCTTGCGCGCGCAATTTCTAACAACCATGCGAACACAGAGAAACCTGCATTGATACCACCTGGACAAAAAAGAGGGTTGAATGTTCGGAGATACCCGCATCTATCAAGTCTCCCTCAAGTCAAGCAGTCCTTATTACCAGGATTACGATAGATTAATTTCCTCTTCAATAATATAAATTACATTTACATCTATCAAATGCCTCATTGAACCGCAGCAGGTTTTATTTGTTTCATTTTTTATGACATAAATTTGTTAGGCTTCTTATCTCTGAAACTTATGATAGAGAGCTGAGTGAATGTGAGTTGGACCTTTTTTTTGCGACTGTTAACCGTTTCACATTTGAACGAGCAATGAATCTACACGATTTTAACGAGTAATATTATAACAGATCGATTCGTTTTCCAGTGTAAATACAAGCTGAATTCTAAAGAAATAAACAAAAGATGGCATCAAATTACAAATCAATTCGGAAACCAGTGGATTACGGAATAATTTTGAATTGATTAACCTCCAAAAGAAGAGGGTGACGCATATGACTGTTACCACAAAGGCAAATACCCCCCTATTGCGGTCAATTTCAAGGACATTTTGTGATATTTAACCCACTTGTTTACGCCAACTTTGAAATACCACTATTGATTGTAAGGACACTTTCGAAAATTTACCCCTATTTTACCTTGTTTCAAGGACAAGACTCGGCTCCGAGAATTTTTCTTCCCGGTTTTCTCTTTTCCCTTTGCCTGACCCCTATTTATCAATTTCGAGGACACCTATGCACCCCTTTTTTTTCTATATTTCGAGGAATATTTTGTCCGCGGACATTGCTTGAAATTGACCCCTTTTTCCTCGATTTTGGTAACGGTCATGCGGTCCCTAAGTCACAGTGAGTGACCCCACCGGGACTACCTCACTCATACATATACTGCCATTTGCTGTTCACATTGTCCCTATGTGTCGACGGCCATGTCCATAATGCGTGCTAACCTGCCTGAAGGAACTGAGTTTAGGTACGCCTTCACCGAAATATGGCGCAATTGATGGTATATTACAGCAGTGGTTGTGATGTCAATGACATTCCCTGCCTTTAAGCGATTAGTTCCTACTGGTTTCAGAATAAAGCACTTCTTAGTTAAAGGTATAGACCAGTTTTGGAAACGCCCTCCTCTCATAAAAATGAAATGGAAGCTCTTACTACCAATCATGTGAAAGAATTATGTTTTGACTAATACGTGATGATACAAATTTTGCCGGGAAACCGCCTTCTAATTGATATATTTGGTAAATTATTATATTTACCCGGACTGGATAGATATCACGTATAGCCATTTACATCTTTCTGTGTACAGTGCTTGTAACTTTACCAAGATTGGGCCAAAATTATTATCATTTTGATGATTCCAGAACCTGGCAGTATACACACCAATACTTATATGCTAGATGATTAACCTTTTTCTGATCGATTCCACAACGTTTCTTGCACAATGCAATCGCATGACCATAACTGGTCTATACCTTTAAGTTAAATGTAAAACTGAACGTTTCAGGAATGTATGCATCCTGTTCAGAAATGGCGAAGGGTTCATGCAATTCTTTAAAAAGTATTCACCAGCTAAATCAGCTATAAACCAATGCCCATGATCAAGATGATGAACGCGCTAGCGTTTGGTCGGTCAACATTAGTTCCGGGGGCGGGGAGGGGGGCGTTTCACAAAACTTGTCATCAGTGGCAAATGACAGTTTTTGTTAAAAGCTACTGAAATCCGTGCTTCTGAATGGTTATCAGCAGATTTGTTACTAATTTTTGTCTTTTGTCATTGAAAAAAGGCTTTGTGAAACGGGCCCCAGGTCATGCGATTGCATTGTGAAAGAAAAGGTGTGGAATGGATCACAAAAAGTTAATCATGTAGCATGTAAGTACTGATGTGTACTGCAAGGTTCTGAAGTCATCAAAATCATATTAAATTCGACCCAGTCTTTGTAAAGTAACAAGCACTGTACACATAAAGGTGTATATGGGACTACACAAATGGTGTCGGGGGCTACCTACCTTGATTTCTTTATCTTTATATGCCCATTACTCAGCCAGAATACATTTTTTGCCAAAATTGTTTGGCAAATGACATTTATTTGTAATCTTGAACATTCAGTGTAAATTTCGTTTGTTTCTATAAGAATTTTTATTTTATTTTTTGTTTTACCAAAACTCAATTTTATTTGTAATGAAGTGTTACAAAATATTAATTCATTCCCAATCTGAATTGAAGTTAATTTTCCCAGGTCGCTTAAAAGAGTTTACAATTTCGAATATAATTGTTATAAATCAATGCATTAAGGCGGGCAATTTTATACATTAAATTATTAAAGAAAAACGTCAAAATAAAGCTAATTTGTAGGCAGTCAAACAAGCAACAGATATTTTACGTGGATCATTTGCTGTTCTAATATATTATGTAATACATACCGAATATAAAAATGCAGCAAAGTAGCCCAACGACGATAAGTAACTTCATCTTGATTTCTGTCATGGGAGAAGGAAATAAGAGAAATTATGCCTATCAATAGGTTTGAAAATGAAGGTGATTGTTCTTTATTGGAATTAAAGCGGGCAGTAGATATAGGAATTAACAGTTGTACTTTCTTCTAAAAAAACGCTCTGAACACATTTTGATAAATAAATCAAATACGGTACGAATATATATTTACAATTTATTTGTCCTCTGGTACGTTGAACTTTGCATATTTAAAAAACTATTTAACGTCAATCAAAAACCGAATGAATTAATATGAAACTAAAGCATATATAAATAGAAGGACTATACAAAATAACACTCCAAATGCAAATGGCATATAAAGTGGACTGAAGGTTTTGTTATATCGGAGTATTAAACTTAAGTTTTCTTTTCTTTTAACACTCTATGTAAAATTCCCCGCTATTAAATAAAAGGTAACATTTACTTCAATTTGTTTTCGGTTATGTTAATCTGTTGAATATGTATGGGGGAAATTATATTGAACCCATGGTGTAAACGAGAAAAACAAATACAATCAAAGAAACTTGCATGGGTGCTTACTTTTCGACCTACACTTAATAAGAGGAATTTATAACGACTTAGGTTAACAAAAAACAACGTATTAATGAACGATTCGATTTTCTAAAATAAGATACCTAATATTGGGTATTTTCAAAGTGAAGGAAGTTATTCGAAAAAGAAGGGGTAACATGTCACTTACATTTTGTCTGTAAACACCGATTAAAAAGTAAACTGTCCACTAGCTCATCAACTGGTCCGATGCTCCTGATTATTTGTACACAACTAAACGTTTTACATGAAAGATCACCCGCTTAAATACAAAATGAAAACTGTACAGTTGATATGGGGCCAGGGGGCTACATGTGGGCGGATCCAGATTTTTTTTTATATGAGGGTGAATAAACTTTCATTTGCAAGGAGCAGGGATGAAGTGCGAAGGCATTGCAACACAAAAAACCGTTTACGACCTCACTTGGGTAGGAGTACGTGGTAGGTATATTATATGTACTGGTATGAACTTTTTTGATACTGGAATTGGAAAATGAGTCCATTGGTCAACAAAAATACCCCTTGAGATACACTAGCTGGCTAACTAGTTTACTTATCAGTTACAACCGACCAGTGGTCTAAAACCGCGTTATAAAACAGTCTTCAGACTATATTCTTGTGTTAATCCCGATTTTCAACAATGCTTAACCACAAGCGGCAAAGACAATCATTCTCTAAGGCATTTGTAAGATTCTCTCATTTTAGTCGGTAAACTTCAAACGCTCTCCCAAAATATTGCATATAATTTAATTTCCATATCAAAACCTCCAGTTCATATCTCTTTATTTCTTGTTAAATCTATAGTAGATTTAAGAATGATTCTTAAAACTCTGTGTACTTAAGTTCGATGCTTTATATTTAATGATGTTATCCTTCGTATACTGAACTACCGTTATTTGATCGTTGTTAGTTCTTAAAGGTAAAGACCAGTATTGGAAACGCACCAATTTCAAAAAAATGAAATGGAAGCTCTTATTACCAATCATGTGAAAGAGTATGTTTTGACTAATACATGATGATAAACAATTTGCCGGGAAACCGCCTACTAATTGATATATTTGGTAAATTAGATTATCTATTGGTGTGTGAGAGATAAACGCACGTGTTGCGCCCGTGTACGTAGTCCCATATACATTTTTTTCTGTGTACAGTGCTTGTAACTTTACGAAGACTGAGCCAAATTTCTTTTCATTTTGATGATTCCAGAACCTTGCAGTACACACCAATACTTATATGCTAGATGATCAACCTTTTTTGATCGATTCCACAACGTTTCTTTCACAATACAATCGCATGACCATAGCTGTTCTTTATCTTTAAGTTGTATGATGTAATTGATTGTGTATTCATTTGCTGTTACATTTTCCATTAATGCTTTCAATATTGAAGATCGCTTTGAAAAATTCGCTAAAAGCGCTTGATATATACAGTGTATATGATCATTGTATATAACTTCCTGTATTTATTATTATTACTGTTATTATTATTAACTGTATTTCAAGTACTAACGTTCAAGTGAAACAAACAATGCACAGTTATTCTCCCTTTGACGTAGTGATTTTTTTCAATATTTAAAACTCGTCATTTTCTTTTATTACACAATTAGTAATACTGTTGTTAATGTTGCCTTGAAATTTGATAGAACTGTGTTACTATCATAATTATTTCCCATTGTGTATATTAATGCAAGTACTGTTTAATGATCTACTTTTATATTGAGTTTTTTTTTCTCACCCACAGAGCCCCTAGTAGTTATAGCCTTTTGTTGATTGATGAAATAAAAAGTACAGTCGATGATAAAATTGGCAAGTGAGGTTCATGGGAAGACACATTCATTTAAATGCATAAGTTGCAATTATTTATATGTTCAGTGTCAGGATTTTACTATGAAACCGGGGAAAAAGGGTTTTACAAAAGTACAATGCATCATAATGGGCTGCATTTTATGTGTTCGTTTGTTTTTATTTCCGAAATCCATATATTCATACAAGTTTTTAAAACATACATATAAAACACATTTCAAATGATAAGAAAGTAAGTAAATGTGTAAAGTATAGACAAACGGTTGGATAGCCCATTTCAGAACAATTTCAAAATGTTCCTGTTCTTCCATGCACTTCAATTTTCCAGCGGTTTGTTAAAAGCGCACAAGGATGAGTCTTTGTTAAACTAAAGAAAATACACTAGAATGAAAACACAGAGGAACCACGTTTATTGGAGGATAACTTCATTTATTTTATAAGAGAAAGACATTACAAGTTTGGCGTCAGAAGTCTACGATGGCACCAGGAAAAGTATAATTAAACTCAAAATTACAGTGTTATATAATGAGCAGCATACTTGTCTATTATGATACCAGCATTATGTTGTAAGGGCCTCTTGTTCAAAGAATAAAAAGACAGTAGATGGGAAAATAGTCAACTAAAGTTTAATAGACATCGGAGGATAAGCTCATTTAAGTTTACGACGTTATGTGATTAATACTGGTTTGTGCCACCAGTCTACGTTGACCCTCTCAAAGAAGCTATCAAATTAATTACTACTTACATGGCCATATAATAGACAGTATAGCTATTGCATTTCAATTTAGAAACCGGCTGCCATAAGGGCTCCCGTTAAGTACACGGTGTTACGCAATGCATAATAAAAGTGCATTAATGCTGGTCTATGGCGAGCATGATTGGTGTTTGGTGAGCATTGCAACATCATGTATACAAATAATCAAGGAAAGTAACACAATTACTTTGACAGGTCACTGTACTTCAAATACTGGTCAGGTGGTTGATTCCCATGAATATATTGTCATTTATTTTATCACGTGACCAGCTTTCCTGGTCAAAACATGTTGATTTCGTCATTAAATGTAAATGTTCAAGACTGTTTAGGTTCAGCAGAAGGATTATAAATTTTAGAAACCAAGGAGTACTCAAACGGCTTTTTGAGCTTTGTGTAGACCAATTATTTAATACGGTATCCCAGTTTGGTTTCCACATTAACAGAATCAAAAACGCTCATGAATCCGTTCAGTGGTGCTTTAATCGTTCCTGTTTTTCATACAATAAAGCAAACAATCTAACTCAAAACAGAAAACAGTATTTAACTACTGATGGAGCCACCCTGCTAAAAAAGACTAACAAATAAATAAATATAAATAAATAAAAGCATCTGGGTTTCTTTTCAATTGCGTTTTATTGAAAGTTGTTTAACTTGTTTACATGATCAAGAGAAATACATTTTCGGATTTTGTTCTTCTTGTGATTGTACAATTTGATGTTGCAATACTCTGCAGTAGACCAGTTTTAACGACCATGCGCACCTTAGTTGCGCAGGGCCAGCTGGTCAAATGTAATATTCGTGCACAATGCCTGGTCCAGAAGTTCCTTGCATTCCCCAAAGCGAATATATGATCAGCTGCCCATGCACAGCTGTGGTGCGCTCGAACATTACTGCCGAACGTCCTTGCTATAACTGAAGAGGCAACTCCGAATAAGATTCATAATGGATATTATATACACTTAGGTAAACAGGCACGCCCCTTTCCATTTCTTATAATCATACATGGTTCAGGAAAATCCAGTAACAATACTCAGTCACACCATAATAAATAGTCTAGTTCTGGACCCTTTTAATCAGTTTTTTTTATTCGCCGTGATGACGCGATCTTTAGTGACGGCGTGATCCCGAGAACCGGTCGGATCACGCCGTCACTAAAGATCACGCCATCACTCGGCTAAACGCTTATAGTCGGCGAATAAACAAAAATCATTAAAAGGGTCCAGAACTAGACTACGGCATGACCGGCATCAGACCAATCAGAGACTGTTGAATAACTGTTAGATTGAATATAATTTAATTGGATAGAGTTCCGACATGAACGCCAAACATTCAACAACAAAAAAAACAAAAAACATTTGCCCATCATGGGATAGTAAACATTTTATATGAAGGAAATCTCATTAGGATAAGCATAGTGTGGGGGGAGAGATGGTTGTGACACTCGCATATACGCGGTCGTCACTCATGTTAAATGATTGAGCCCCGAACGATTCCCCGCACGGACAATTTATGTTGGTGGGAGGGAACTATTTGGAGATCCATGAAATGACGGATCCATACAAAATTTACTTCCGGTGTCGTAACTATTCCTTTAAGCAAGCCATTGGGACAACAAAGAGACGCCCTCTATCGCTTATCCTTTAACCCACAGAATAAGGCATAAATAAGCGAGGCAATGAAGAGACCGAGAGTAGATTCGAGGTTCACTGCGCTATTCGCTTGAGAAGGAGGGGTGCACTTGTCTGCGCTGTCACAGACGCAGAAGGTTGCGTTTAAGAGGCGATCGAAGATCATTTCCTCTGTATCTGGGAACAACTCAGCCGGATCATTGTCCGAAAAGAAGGCGCCAACCACGGATTGGTCTACGCAGTGGTCTCCTGGAGAAGTGGAGGCGACAACGTCTTTGGGGGCACAAGTACGTCGCTCGACCGTCAACGTAACGGTTTGCCCTATTCGGGTAATACGGAAAAAAGGATGATGAGAAAACAAAATAATTAACATGATTGACAGAAGGGGAACAAGGAGATTTCATGCAAGTGTATGGGAAACATGGAAGCGAAACCAAAATTGCCAAAAGAGGAGCTTGGGTGTAGGTATGCCCGAATGAATACAAACATTTTGATATTTCCATCATATAACGGTTTATTTGCTTAATTTAAGGAAAATGAATGTTGAGAATTATCCTTCATTCAGGAAACTTAAATCTTAAAAACAAAGGAATAAAATGGATTACGGACGGACTCAAATTCCAAATGCCAAATAAACATGCAAGTTGTAAGAGTTTGCTTGTGATCACTCAAGGTAAAAATCTGTTAACTAAATGCCTGTTGTACAATTTCAATGCATTTCAACTTGCGCTAATTATTCTTGTGAATATAATCAAATCTTAAACCATTAATGAAACTGCAATTTGTGCGTTGGTTGTTTTTTTCCAATCAGCCATCACATGCCTCGTCGGAGACCTCACAATCCGCTGACGGATTCTAACGTCGATAAATACCGCCTCGTGCGCAAAGTGATGGGAGCTTTGGCACTCACCCGTCCCAAGCATATAGGCGATGTTGACTACACCCGTTATACAGGTTGAGATACCTTCAGGGCATATCATCTCACCAGGGTTGTCCGAACACGAGACAAGTTCGGTGTCACCAGGGTATGTAATGTTACCATCAGAAGTTATCTCCTTACAATTGATGCAGGTTCTCAAATCTCCTGTTGAATATTTTGAATGGAAGAAGAAGAATTGATTAGTGGCACAAAATATATTTTTGTGAAAACTATCATTCAAGCTTTGAATCGGTCAACGGCTTGATATTGTATTAATTCTTCCAACAATAACGACCCACGATAATGGAAAAAAGTTGTTTTCTGCAAGAGCTACCCTCCTCCTTCCTTAAGCGTTTTCAAATGCAATTTGTTTTAATATATATCAGTAGCTACTCGTATTTTCAAATTTTCTGTAGCGTATAGTATTTAAACAGAAAGACCAAAAAGTAGTAACTGTAATTTGAACTTGTCATTTATTTGGTGAGACTATGATTTTAAAGGCCGGTTCAGACATGGCGAGGAAAAAGCGAAAAGGTTTTTTGTTTGTGATGACGTAAATTGTAATACGTACGCTTTACATTTTTTTTAAAGCAAAGCTCTTGGTATGTTCGCTGTGTCTCCTTAGCTCAAGATTTAATATAAAATTCCTAAATTAAATTAAGTTAAATTAAGTTCTTCTAGCGTCCGATGGCTGCGATGGCCGTCTCATTTACAGATCTCGGTGAAGTCCTTTGTTGTGCGCAGTTGCCATTCGTGTACTCTTAAACAAAAATCCTTGGCGGTTTACCGTATCATATATGAACAAGCCTTAATGTGCTATGTGCGAACCTCTATAGTTAATATCAAATGTGGACTCATACTGAATAGAGGCTATGCCCAGGGACTAGCTTGAAAATCGTTCCAACTACATATTAATGCTTCATGAGAGCTCTCACCTTTTCCAGTTCCTGTCCCGCCTTCTGCGCCTGTTGACGGTGAATCAACTGTGGGTGAAGGTGGGGTGCACTTGTCGGCACTGTCACAGACGCAGAAGCTTGCGTTTGTGATCCCGAGGAATAGCATACCATTTATATCTGGGTACAGTTCAGCTGGGTCATTGTCGGAAAAGTAGGCGTCCACCACGGACTGTTTTACGCAGTGGTCTCCCGACGGAATCGAGGAGACGATCTCTTCAGGGGCACAAGCACGTTTCACATCTCGGATGGTCACATTTTGTCCTATTTTATTTTAATGGAATAGCAATAGGAAAACTGATAAAGATGCTGTTGATGAAATAGCAATACTTCTAATTATGAATACAAAAAATAATGACAACATTTTATAATAACCCCAATCTCTATCATTTCTAGATACTATGTCCCTTTTGCAGCCAACATCAAATCCTGTAGAACTTTGCAGGAATTTTGAATATGTCATTTTTGTCCTATCTGTGGGATTTAAACATTAGCAGTGTCCTAGTATTCAAATTATGCAAGGAAACCTGTTTATCTTCTAGACTTTACTGTCAGACACTAATGAGTGACTGACTGACATCTTGTTTTTTTTCTTTGGTAATGACATACCAAAAAATGAGCTGTTACAGGTACATGAGCATTTGTCTACATCAATAACCCACTACTTGAAGTGGCCAATATTAAACTAATTGAATCTTTGTGCAGCACAAAACCTACGATCATTATGTAAAAGGGTTTGAAAATCATACTACTACTTAAGCGATTGCAATAGCTTAAGTTGATTCTACAACTAATAGTCGTTATTTTCCGAATAAAAGCCATTTTCAATCCCTTTCGCTTAGAGGGAAGTTCTTAATTAGCATTGTCTTTCAAATGCCGTTGGAAATTAACCTTGTCATTTGTTGGGCTTGCAATTTTCTTTTATATACATATAATGGAATATTCTGTTCGTTATGGTTCTTGTTTGTGACAGGGCCCCGGTTACAAGCAGAATTCTACTTCCTAGAAGTCCTAACCATTATATTGAAAAAAGGATGAACAAAGATTCTAAATTAATCAAATTCAAAATTGAATTGACCAACTATAGGCGGCTAAACCAATCTATGAAGAAAAGAAATCAATTACAACTTACTTTTCTGTTTTAAGAAAGGCGAACAAATTAAACATTTATTAGTTCTTTGCAACATAAATAAAAACAATCCCTTTATACAAGTATTCTTAAAATGTTTAGTCTAAACTTCTTTTTTTTTTCGCAGTCTGTAGTTTATTGGAGGTGTGTGTGTGTGTGTGTGTGGGGGTGAACACAAGTTTAGATACAATCCACCATAACTATAGTCCAGAATCTGGCCTATTTAATTTTGATCTCCACCACGCCAATGATATACCTCTCCCTACTTACTTACTACCAGCCGATGATGGCGTGATCATTAAATTAGGACACCCGATTATGAGTTTGTTGATAACGCCATCTTCGACGGCTTGAATCAAGTATGTAGGGAATAAGCCTTTTCGTAAATACTTTTCGTAAATACTATTTGCGCATGGGCAGATTAAATTCATTTCTGATAAAATTGTAAAACCCACCGACAGGAATACGTGATCATGTTATGTAATCATTAGGGACTTTTAGATTCGCACGAAGACAATGGAGATTGCTACGATCGACGTCCTTTTAATGCACTGCCTTAAATGGACGTCACACGTATCAGTCCCCGCAAATCTAAAAGTCCCTATTATTTATGTGTGCACCTACGTGTACATTCTTATGATACCAGAGGGAAAACAGAGCTTTTCATGAAGCACATACATGACTTCGGCATTGATTATTCTAAAATACACAAATTGGGTATTCTCCATGAGTAACAGATCTGTGGATACGTGGGGTCATTTGACCCATGTGCTAACTACGAAATGACCTATTATAAAGGACCGGGCAGATTCAGGACTACCTTAACTGCAGCAAGTTAATTACTTGCTGGGGTGTAGATACTTACCAGATTGAAGTCTATAGGCAACGTCTATGATCCCGGTCATACAGGTTGAGATACCTTCGGGGCATATCATCTCACCATGGTTGTCCGAACACGAGACAAGTTCAGTGTCACCAGGATCTATGATGCTACCATCCGAGGTTATCTCCTTGCACGTAATGCAGGTTCTCAAATTTCCTGTTCAGCGGGGGAAAGAAGAAGACATTTTAGAAGTAACAGGAATCGTTGTGCTTGGTAGGAGTTTAAAAAATCTACCACCATATCAACAATTTGTTTTAAAACAGAACTAAGAAAAAAATATGTTGTATTGCGCTTTGCGACCGACCAACAAATCTTGAAATCTACGGTTGGCTTTTTATTTTATTTTTTTTTTTTAGAAGAAAAAAATAAATTAAAGCATTCAAAAAAATATATGCCAAAAGAGGGAGTAAAAAGAAAAAAAAAAGTATTAAAACAGAAAAATTGATTTCCGACCGACTCATGTTCTCGCACCTAAAGGGCAATACAACATCTTTTTTGTTAGGCCTTATATTAGTAGACGCTTTATTTCAAAATGTTATTATTGAGCATTTATACCTTTGAATATATCAAAATATTAACGTGATCTACTAACTAAAATCAAATGATAGCCCGATTTATTTCAAACTAACCAATTATTTGTAATTTGTCGGAATATATAACATCTTGCTCGGAGTATTCTCGTTCTCGGGTGGGGCCTTGAAGGTGTTAGCCATGGATTAGTGTTTTCGGCAGTGTTAGCGACAAAATGTTAGCGACTACATTACAAAAGAATTGTTTGAAACTAGAACTATTTTGTAACTTAATTAGTAAAAACCCTCTTTAGCTTCATTTTATAATTGTATTTATTGAAAATGTGTACCCTTTCGTAAGTGTTGCTGATGTACTAGTCCGTTTGACAGTGGTTTCTAAAACGGTACGTCTACTACGCCAGCTATATTACCTGATGCTTCAGGAGAGCCTGGCACCATGGGTGTCGATCCCGGGGGGGATGGGGGGGATATATCCCCCCCAATATTTCAGGTGGGGGGGATGGCCTGTACAATCATCCCCCCCCAATAATTCACCATAAAATTATTTTTTTAAATGAAGAGAAAAATTAATGATGAGAGTCCGATGAGAGTAGTTAATTGTTATTACTCGCAAGATGACCATCAATATACACATTTTGCTATCTCATTTTCATAATACATACATTATATACGAAGTTAATAAGACAACCGTATATGAGACAAGAATAAATTGAATTCTCGCTCATACGGCTTCATCAGGAATTGATGAATTTATTCAATTTGTTCAATCAACAGCATATCATAGAAATGCAGTGCGCCAAATGCAAAGACGCAGCATCAAAAGCAACGAGCTAAATGTTAAGCGCGAAGCACAAAAGTAGCAATCTGCAATGCACATCAGACAATCCTGGACAGTGTAAACATAGATGAACTCTGTGACGATTTCGTGATGAGATCGGAGACAAAGAGAAAGATTTTCGGACATTAGTATGACTTATAAAATAGTTCACTAGTTGTTATGTTGTTTCCGTTCACCCTTTTTAAAATTCACGTCATTGTATCTTTATTTTTATTTTTTTCACTCATTTTATTTCCTGATATTTCCTAAAACATTTTTCATTTTTGGAGAAAGATTATTATGTCACAACTTATTTTCAGTTGGGAAACTGAATTCAGACAAGGATTAATATAGAGAACAGTACAATGAATCGTCTTCTTTCTCTAATAATTTAGCGAACAGGGCAAAGCTGTTAGGGGGGCAACTGAATTCAGACGTGGATTAAGAGTAATAATCAAATGAAACGTCAAAGTACACGATACAACTAATCGTCTTCTTTTACTAATAATTTAATAAAACGTGAAAGCTTCCGCGCTACGCGCGGAATGGGCGAAAGTGAATACAGACAAGGATAAAGAGTAATAATTTATTGAAACATTAAAGCTTCCGCGCTTCGCGCGGTAGGGGGGAAACTGAATTCATGAAGGACACGATACAACAAATCGTCTTCTTTCTCTAATAATGTAATAAAATGTGAAAGCTTCCGCGCTTCGCGCAGGATTGGGTAAAAATGAATTCAGACAAGGATTAAGAGTCGAGAATGGTACATAGAATCGTCTTCTTTCTTTAATAATCTAATGAAACGTCAGAGCTTCCGCGCTACGCGCGGGGGAAGGGGAACTTGATTCAAACAAGGATTAAGAGTCGAGAATGGTACATCGAATCGTCTTCTTTCTTTAATAATCTAATGAAACGTCAGAGCTTCCGCGCTACGCGCGGGGGAAGGGGAGCTTGATTCAAACAAGGAATAAGAGTCGAGAATGGTACATAGAATCGTCTTCTTTCTTTAATAATCTAATGAAACGTCAGAGCTACCGCGCTACGCGCGGAGGAAGGAGAATTTAATTCAAACAAGGATTAAGAGTCGAGAACGGTCCAACGAATCGTCTTCTTTCTCTAATAATTTAGTGAAACGTCAAAGCTTCCTCGCTTTGCGGGGGGGGGGGGGACTCCCCCTCCCTGCACCCAACCCCCTAGGAACCGCGCTTCGTGTGCTAACTACCGCCCCCCCTTAAATTAAATCCTGGCTACGCGCTTGGGAGGGGTGCAACTTGCCACACGCTTCTACCACTTTGGTTGCTTTGATCCATTGCCGAAAATATTTTGGCACCTATCATCCCCCCCAACCACGGATACAAATCGACACCCTTGCCTGGCACGCTCTCTGCACCCACTGCAGTGGAATCAAAGGTGGAGAAGGTGGGGTGCACTTGTCGGTGCTATCGCAGACACAGATGCTTGCGTTTGTGTTGTAAATGAACTTGAGAAAAGTATATTTAGATGAATTCAGTACGGCGGAAAAGTAAGCGTCGACTACGGACTGCTCTACGCAGTGGTCTCCCGAAGAAATGGAGGAGACGATGTCTTCAGAGGCACAACCGCGTCGTTTATGTATGTGGCTATGAAGTGATCCTAAAGTTGTTGGGATGAACAGAGCCATAATAGTACTGATCTCGTTGTTGATGGTAATGATAATAGTAATGGTTTTAAAAGCAAATTAACAATAATGTTAATAATCATAATAATACAAATTATGATTATAATTATTAAAGATATAATAATAATAATTCATTTGATAATAATAACATTAAGATATATATAACCCCAAGCTCTAGATAAGATAAGATAAGATAATATATTATTTGACTCTATCGACCCCCTTCAGGTGTATGAGAGCATAACATATTTACAATACAATACAGACAAATATATAAAAAAAACAAAGTAAGATATGATAATAAAGTACATATACATGTACTTTTTGGTGTAGCGGTGAATGAAGACCAGTGTTGGATGTCATTATTCTGGTTATCCTCTCCTTTGCTTTCACTTTATATTGTTCTCTTTGCTTGCCATTCTGAAGGGGGTATATGCACCCTGGCCCTACTGAAGCCTGTTATTAAATGAAAAAGGTGTTTTAATTTTTATTTTGATGAGGAATTATGATAAAACGGCCAAAGTTTCCTTGACGGGATGGTGCTGGGGGAAATAGTTTTTTTCTTCTGTTTTTTCTCACTTTTTGTCATGTTTGATTGTAGATTGTAATTGTGTTTGCTTTATTTTGTTATTGGTCAAGAATTACATCGCCTAAAATTCACAAAAGTGGTCTGAACTACTAATTTGCTTTGGGCGGCCAAAAATATACATAAACATTTTCCCCATTAAGTTTCTAGTAAAGGCTCAAAATTGATTTGTGTATTTTGTTAGTTAAAGAAATAAAATCTAGACAGAGATGCTAAAAACCTTCTTTTTTTTTTTTACTAGTATTCGTAACATTTGTAATTTAAACTTCTTCTTTTTTGCATTCCATAGTAAGTTTGAGGCAGGGGAGGGAGGGGGTGGTAAACCACTGTTTTAGATTTATACCACCATATTTCCAGTAAGTGTATTACTTTCTGGAGTGTAGACACTTACCTGCGGAAGGTTCATGCATATAGTGGGCCGTCCAAGTCATACAAGTTGGGATACCCTGAGGGCATATCATCTCACGAAGGATTCCTAAGCAGGATTGATATAGGTTGTCACCAGAATATGAGGGGAACAAATAGAAGTCATTGCATAGGAGACAGGTTATACACTTTCCTATCGAATGTTGAAGAAAGAAAAGACAGAATAATATAATTAAGAAGGGAAGGGGGTTTTACAAAGGAAGGCTATTGTAAGTATTTAACTAAAGGTCTGTAAACCGTTGTTTTTTCTTTAAACTTAACAGAATGGCGATAACTATTATTCGATTCAATTTTTCAATTTAATTTAATTCATTCAAGTCAATTAAAAAAAAAGTACATTGAAAACATATTTTAAATGGAAAACATAATGTCACGTAGGATATAGTATAGTATACATTGAACTTTAAACACAAAAGAAGAGAAGTGGCGCAGTTTGCCAATGACACAACTGTATTCCGTGATATTTTTCTGTAGATATAGTAAATATATGTTCAAACCATGATAAGTGTTGATCGATAATAACTCCTAAGAAATTTGTAAATTGGACACGTTTATAATTACATTATTCATACTAATATCAATTTCTGTAATTGTATTTTGCTTATGCTAGATTTGGCGGCATTAAGAGATAACTTATTACAATTAAACCACTGTGAAACATGACATAACTCCTCATTAATAATTTCTTTTTCAGGAAGTTATACACATATTCCCATTTATTATTTATGCACTTTGTCAAAACACTTCCGATTTCTAGTTCTGCGTTTTTTTTATTCATGCATATACTTTCAAGGGTTATGTGTTTTCTATTTTATTTATATTAAACGTTGGGCGAATATATAACTCAAACATTTATTGATATTTTGATTATTCTATTTACTCTCGCACATTGTTTGTATTCTAATTAATGTCTCTCACTATTGTTTAAAATCATGTTCTTGTTCAACATTGTAATGTTTATATAAACATGTATTTTTTCACTTTTTTCCTCTTTCAAATTTGATCTCGTCTGTCCCT